TTTTTTTTGTTCTGGGGTGCGTTTTAGGGGTGCTGTTTGTTGGTGATGTATGGAGGTATGTATGTTGAGGTTTGTGAAGGCAGAGGTATGTATTTGTAGATAGGTAGATGGATAGATAGATATATAAAAGTGTATAGGTAAGAAATGAGTGAACTCGGATTCGAGATTGCTTTTTATACGGCTAGTGATTGTGCGCTTATGTGTGTTCGCTGTATATCGTGACCTGGTTATTGGTTGTCTGGGGTTCTTTTCGGGTGATTTGCATAGTGGCTTGGAATGGGTGATTGGGGCTATTTCTACAATGTAAGTGATTTGCTTGTGATTTGTCTTCCTTGTGGAAGGTGAGTAGGAGAGGGTATTGCACTTTATCTTTTTTCTTCTTTATTTGGCTACGCCATGGATGGAGAGGATTCAACGGTATGCATATCATCAACGACAAAGACTTCCCACCATACCTGCCAAACAGACTATCACTCCTTCTTCCCAAGGACACCCAAGTGAAGATCGCCACACATCCTAATAGGGTTATTAGCCCCCAAGCTCTAGACGGGCCGAGCCAATATTACGATCGACAAAGCAGCTAATCCATCTATATTAGCCAGCAAATTTGCATATATGCTTCCGGCCCCAAACAATTGCCCATCACCTTGTGTCAACCCACCGACATCCGAAATACCCAACTCGACTGCTCTCCGTTTGTGAGGTGGTACTTGACACTTGACGTTGGGGCCATGAAGATAGAGAACATGCCTAGACTGCACCAGCCTGAAGCCTAAACTGGGCGGCTGCCGTTATCATTGTCGCGTGCCGTTGTACAACGCCGTCAATGTGAGCACTAGACAAACGCAAATATGAATGAGCGAAAACCGAACCCTTTCTGCCTAAGAACGGCCAAGTCAGAACCATCTATAAGGTTAGTGATGAGCCGAGCCGCCTCGACGGTGGATATGTGGCCATACCCACGCTGCGCGAGTGCATGGGGCGGTCCAGATTCATCAAGCAAAGAGCGAATCAGGGCCATTGGGGGCGGAGGAGTATTCCGTGTTGCATGTGTTTGGTCATGGCATATTATCCATTGCGTGCAGGGATGGTCGCTTGAGCGCAAAGCTTCAGTCGAGGCAGCCAATCCGGTCCCGGACAGGTTTCTTTGTTTGTTTGCGTGCACTTGATGTGCACAGATACGGACAGTGCGGGCGCTGCATCCTGGATTGGCAAATTATGGGCGTTTCAGGCTGTGGTCTGTCGTCTTCTGGGATGGACTTGTCTTGTCTTATTCCTGGCGCTGCTGGGTGGGGTTGCAGGTAGATGGGTGTTTATCAGGTTGGGTGTCGTGGTAATGGGAGGTTGTGATTGGAGAAGATAGGGTGATTGGCCGGTTATCTGGTGTGGTATTGTTAGTGATCAGGTTCTTGGTGGATCATACGCCATGAAACTTGAGGCTGCTCATGATTTTGATATGGTTGTGCAGGTGACTTCCCGAAATGGAAGTCGGAGTATAGGACCAAGTGTCATTCACGGCTGCTCTTCTACTTTCGATTATTCCTCATCCCCATATTGCTGATTGAGATCAGTTGATCAATGTGTCTCTTCGCTTTGTCTACATACTTCGGGTTGGACTCTTTCACTTGCCCTATCAGAAACATACTAGGTTCACATCTAACTAGTCTGAAACCAAGTATATCCCCCGAGATTCTACTACTACAAACTATATATAGAAAAAGAACCTACATCTAGACCTACGGTTCGAGCTATGAACTGACAAGGGGTCACTAAGAGTCTCAAAGACATGAAACAAACGAAACATGAACTAACGAGCATAAAAGGTAAGTTCCTACAACCTTCCGATTATACTTTCATAGCCTCAAACAATTTCCTAGTGACCCGTGTAGTTGAAGTCTGGTCAAGAGTCCACTCTCTAGTTCGACGCCGTGGCGGCGCCAGCATTTGTGGACAAGACATCCAATCATAGAATTCTTCTGGGCTGCATTGAGGTAGAGCCGATTATAAACTGGCTCTGTTCTAGTACTGGATATGCATTGTTGTTGGTGATTATACGAACATTACTGATCAACGAACAGTGTGCATAACAGATGAACGATCAATATGCGAGCAGTTGCAGTAGACCCTTGAAGCTTATATACGTATCTTGTTGCCCCGTACCATAGCTTTAGGTTGGGACATCATTATGAAAGGTGCTAAGATCCATCTCTCCAAGCTCAACCAGCTCTTAGCAACCCTTTACATACACCAACCAGATAGGATCTATATAATAAATCCAAAAGATTACAGCTCTACCCTCTCAGATTCATACCCGCCAAACTTGAATTTTTCCGCCGCTTTCGCTGCCATGGCCTCCCACTGGCTGAGCGTCTCAGCAGTCGCTACCGAGCCATCTCCGAAGCCAGGCCTTCTGTCAAGGAAGGCTAAGCCCTCCATCGCCCGACCCTCACAGGCACGCTGAAGAGCTAAAAAGGCGAAATGGCCCCCGATCACCGGTCGAGCAAAGAAATTCGGCCCTGGGAACTCGCCTTTGCCTTCAGTATTGTGCAGATCAGTGAAGGGCAAGTCGGTCACCGTTTCGTTCACCCATTTGGCGACAGACTCGAGGATCTCACTACGCACATCCTCACTAGCGACAGCCATAGAGAAGAATTCCCAGTCCGTCTTGGTGTACAGGTGGCGGCTGTCCAAGGGAAGACCGTACTTTTGCCGTACGTAGTGATACCAAATAGACTGCTTCTGGTAGATGTGATGTGGGACGAATCCTCTCTTCCCGGAGTGCGAATGGAGTAACTTTTGGCTGCCATGTGCAGGGGAAACATCGGTGCCCTCCAGGTGGAAGCAAAGCTGGGCATCCGCATACAGGTTATAAATCGTAGTCCACGATCCATACCAGTCATAGGCAAGTTTAGCATGCGTGCCGTCTCGAGACATGCCGAATTCTTCCCACTTTGCGATGTAGGTATCGGCGATATTCTGTATCTGAGTTAGAAGATCTCCATTCTCAAGTCTCATTGATTGTACTAACCTTATAATATGATGCATTTGCCTTGTGTCCAGCCACTTCAGCTAGCTTGCTCATGGCATTAATACCGATGATGCCCTTAAGGGCAAGGTTCGTCTGAAGAGCAAGCCAGCCAGCGAAATCGTCCGTGGAAACTATATTCATCAGCTTCCCACATATTCTCATAAAACAATAGTGTTCTTACGTTGGTTAGCAGGCTCCAGAGAGAATTCCACTAGGTAACTGGTCCATTGAGTCCAGATATTGTAACTGCGTTGAACCCATTTCTTAGCCAAGCGCTCGCCTTGGGCACCACCGCCCCATCTTCCGTCTTGCTTATCAATTCCTCCAAGGGCTTGAAGACTATCCAGAGGGAAGTAGCCCGAGTTCTTGTCGGATGTTTGAGGGGCTGTACCCCGAGTAGACCAAACGGAGGCCGCCGCCGAGTCCGCAGAATAACGCAAGGAATTCACAACAGCCAAGCCCATGATGAGAAGGTTGCCACACTCCTCTACAGGCATGTACTCATCGTTGCCGTCTGGATGACCGGTGGCGTTGGGGAAGTGTGTTCCCAGGTCATGCATAGCGTACTTGTTCGGGTATTGTCCACTCGACATATGTTCAATCAATGGCTCGAGGAGATAGGCCAGCCACCGTGGGTTTGTGTAGAGGAAGAATGGGAATGAAGGGAAAATGACGTCGATGGTTTGGAAATTACCGTTTGAAGAAATTTCCTTCAGGAACAAAATCGGGTTCTCAGGTGTCCCCGCAAAGGTGGTTGCTCCCATAACCTGTCGGGCTGAAAGCGCTACGATATCCACATAGTCGTAAGCTCCCGACTGATAGGCATCCTGGGCCAGTTGGTCCGAATAATCGGAGGCCAACGTGCCCGCATTAGCCAAATCATGGTAATGGAAGCTGAGCAGGGCCTCTTCATTGGAGAACCAAGATCTCCAGAGAGGCCGCATCAAGGTAAGCCCGCGTGAAGATGCATATTGGACGACCGGATCTTGGATTAGGGCAAGGGTAAAAGTCACGCTGTCGCTAGCAGGGCCTGATTTCTTCGGGGGGACGAAAGATTTGGAGAACGCAAAGACCGGTTCTCGGTCACCAACGGCACGGAAAGCGCCATCATTCTCGTTGCGCAAGACTCCCTCGGCGGCAAATCCTCGCCGCACAGCCACGGCTTCTCCGGATTGGAATTGAACGTCCTACTCTCAATGTTAGCCGTGGCATTTAGGATTCGCGGCGACGCTCATCCAAGGGGCACGAACAGCAGGACCAGTAAAGTGGAGGGTACCCCATTCTGCCCGGTCACGGATCTCCGATAGCAGCAGCTCTGTTTCTCTCTTGAATCGCCATCTCTGGAGAGTAGGCTTGCTGCCTTTGGCGTCAAAACCATCGTATTGCCAGGTGATTTTACTACCCGCATCTCCGCTTACCCAGCGGCCATTGACATCCATATAAACGTTGACACCCACATCACCATGGACGTGGATTGTCACGTACGAAGCCGGGATCGACTGCCGCAGAGTCGATGTAGGTGTAATGGGAGATAGGAAAGAAACGGTGATCTCAAGCGGAGTAGAAGCCGATGTATCCAGGTTGATGCGGTAGGTCAGGTTAGTAGTAGACGCATCGTAGTTGGCTCCAAGGTAAACTGGAAACGCTACGTCCGGTGAACTAAGCTATGTTAGAGATTATAGTCAAAGGCCTTGATTGCTCTGGGTATGCACCTACTCGGAGTCGGAAGACAGGGATTCATGGGGCTTGCCCAACAACGGATACACGGTCCCCGTACTAGGAACGTGTGCCATCAAGGAGAGGCCAACCTCCTCTCCAGTATAAAACATGGGCCATTTGGACCACGGTGCCTCACGAGCATTACCGAACCAAGTGCTGAGGTAAGGATTCCGCACAATCAGCGGTAGGACAGGCGGAGTCAGTGTAGATGCCGTACTGACTGCCGCCTGAAGGGCAGCTGTCAGTACTACAAAGGATAAACGCATCACGGTGGTGTTTGGTTGATCACGAGTGATGGGGGAGCGAAAGAAAGAATGCAACACAGAAGCAGGAGAGGGGATGTGAGAGGTATGCAGGCACCGAACACGTGCAAACCCCGTGATGCAATGATGTCGGAGAAGATCCCAAACAGTAATGATCTACTCCAATCCTATTTACCTGGGGTAAGGGATTCTCTACCTTGAATATCCTAAGGGATATAACAATATGCAAGGTAGTAAAAGGTCGAGTAAAGAGGAATGAAGAGAGGTGGTGATATGTAGGCGCAATGCTCAGACAGAGTGGTGTTGGATTTAATGGTGCATTGAGTTGGCGTTTCTTTGGAACTTCCAAATGCGGGGAAGGCTTTCGCACTTGGGCTGTCACGGGGTAAGAGAATGCCCTTCGAAGGCCAATAGGGGGGAGGCATTTTTAGGGTGAGTTCGATGCAGGGTTGTAAACACATTGGATAGATCAATTGATAGAGTCCGCTTAGACCTCCATCTACATGAGAAAAAGGCCTATGATGTCATTACTCAGGACTGATCAATATGAAATCATCATGTCCCTCTTACCCTCTTTAGTACTCGAAAGTAAGCAATATATTGTCGAGGGTGACTATATTGTAAACCCACCCGGGCATTACTATCTCCTTTCTTTCCCTCTTTTTTTTTTTTTTTTTTTTTTCCTCAGTTCCCTATTCCGTGTCCGAGGATGTCTCTTTACTTATCGAATTGTCACTTTATGTAGAGCCCACGACCGTATCTTGCTTTTAGCTGCTGGTCTTTTAACCATAAACGATGGGTAGACACACCCAATAAACTAACTGTAGAACTAATCGATTGGTTTAGATAACTGTTATGCTAATATAGTATAGCACGGAAGGGTTATTGCTTGTCATTGTAGTAAAGAGCATATCTATATGTGAGCTAGAGCAGTAACATATTCTTGTAAGTTGTAATCTTCTACTACACTGTCTTGTATAAGGTTCCATCAAGCCATCCCCTCTCAAACCCCAAAGTATTTTACCCTATATACACCCTTAAACCGTATGCCGTAGAAACTTTACTAGACACTCCAAATTGTATCTACCAATACTCGCTGTTTGACAGCTTTAACTATCGATCTCTTGCATGCTGCCCGGGTGGTGGGGCGGAGTGGCACGTGCAGGACGAATCTAGACCCAAGCAGGCAGTGGCTGAGATTTAAATCGGAACCATATGTTTGTTGACCACTCGATGGCTGGGAGGAGTCGCGCGAGGCGCGAGTGCCTAGAGCTTTGTTATCTCTACAATTAGCATATGCTTTTAATATTCATATTCAGGTTCCTATCTCTTCGCTAGAATTGTACGTGTATCACCTTGCGATCTTGGGGTTCCCCACAGTACTCAAATGCCAGTCACTGCTCGGAAATGCTGAAGTCAGAAGGGCCACATGTTGCGCATTCCACGTCCGAGTACCACACTCTGACTTAACTGGCTCAGATCCTTGTACAGTTGGGATCTAGAGGGGTTGATGAAGGTTCGCTACGCGGAAATCTGCAGTGGTTGACGCGGCTTGCAGGGCGCTCCGTTTGTGTGTTGGTCATGGTGCCAGATCTATTTGTAGATTACTAGAAGATGGACGAAAGTATGGAAGTGTCCCCATGTCTTCCGTAATGTTTAACAATCTGGTAGAAGAGAGAAGTTAGGAGTTGAATGGGGATATGCGAGAAGTGGATATCACACGTCGCGGGGAGGTGGAAAATGGAACTAAGTCACGTCTCCCTCCGAAACGGCTTGGGAATAGCGCGAGATACACCAACTACAACGCGGTTTACCTCCCACGCGACAATTCGACTACCACCTTACCTCGCAAGACCGGAAAGACAAGTCGTGTTAACCTTCTTGTTCATATCGTCTTGCTTCTCTCGTTCTTACTTCCTTCCATCCATCTCCCTCAACGCCAACAAAATACCTTCTCTTCCCATATTGCTTCTGGAACCCTAACCTCTCTTCCGCTCTCCGTACGGGTTCCTACTCGAACCCCAAATTCCTCCCATCTACCTTCCTGCTACTACTCTTTCCCTTTGATTAACTCCCCAATAATCTCCGGAATGTACCCAACTACACTGCACCCCAGCCCCGTCAAAGACGGGAGGCGCGTTCTCGGTGAAAAGACCGCAAACGCGTGTCTGGCATCCACTCATCATCGGCCCGATGTTTCGCCCAGCAAACGCCCGCTCCTCGAAGCACCTTCTCCCCAAAAGCTCCTTTCATCTCCTTTATTTGCTGGCCAGAAACGCACAATTGATCAGGTAAACGACGACCAAACGAACAATGGCAACGTGCAGGCTCAACATGGCGAGTCTCGGGCGGAAACACAAACGGTGCACGACGTGCATGATGAAGCTTGCACACACTCTACAGCTCACAAGGATGATCGGGTATGTTGAAGGAACACTTTTAGTGAAGTTTGAAGAGTTTCAAATTTGGATTGGGGCTGATTATCTGGGGTAGCCGAACCAACAACAAGCCGACGCGATGGAGCCGGACGTAGCTCCATCACGGGAGTCAGATAAACAACAACCACAATCACCAACACATTCCACACCGCTTGCTCGAAGCTCTAGCCAAGAAAGTGAAGCAGGTTTAACACGAACCGTCCCTGAGGACCCTGAAACGCGCAAGTTGTTTATCCAAAAAGTCAGTGTGGTTGATCTGCCGTATTCCTAAACCGGTCTAACCCTACGGCACAGAAAGCAAGCCTTCTTCGGAACCGAATCCAAAATGCCATGCGTCACATTAAAGACCCTCAATTTGATCGCCGCCTGTCAGAACTAGAGGCCCACAGTCGCAAATTCCCACGTCTATCACTCCCCGAGACGCTCACGCCCGGCCACCAGAAGGAAATGGTGACACCGCGCCGACAAGACGAAGACATCATGCCCTCCTCTGTCACACCGCGTGCTCTTCAACCCGCTGTAGAGTTCAAGCCGAGGACCGAACCATCATCTATTCCTCTCGGACTATCTTCGCCTCCCCTATCGACAGAGAATGACAGTTCCCAAGACCCTATGAAAACGCCTACACAAAGTCATCGCAGAACAGACACAGCAGAGACTCTGATGCAGCTCAGCAGTCCTCCAGCTACCGTGTCGCGAACCGGGCGCGACAGAATGGTTGGAGAGATCGACGAGCAAGAAGATGACATCGAAGGAAACCAAGCAGAGAAACAGGCCGTCACACCATCGCAACAGGGAGATGCTGTTGACGGGCTCCTGAAGCTCATGAACACTGCGGATAAACGTGAAACCGCGAATACTTGGACTGGCTGATTTTGACTTCTGACGATGAGATGACCGTTCCGTCTGCTTAGATTGTATACTATATTTCCATAACCCTGTATACAGGACTAGATGCATTAGCCATCTAGGATACTGAGGGCATCCCGACGCGTCTACTGACAATGACGTGCTCGCTTCATCCACTGTCTCCACAGACAAGAGTGAGGAAGCATTACCGGAACTCGAGACTATCGTATGACGAGTTTCTTGATGCCTCTCCCTCCATTGCCTTCAGGCAATGGTAATTAGTCAATGATACCACATACTATTCAACGAGTTTATTGATGTCACGCTCGCATGTATCAAAGCTTCCATAGCACATAGAGCTCAATATACCAATTTCAGAGCACCAACGCGAAATTCCTGGCTTCGATCACTTAGACTACCACGATCCACATTCTTTGTTATTTGTGTGTTGGCAGTTCGACACAGATCAAGACATTGCCAGGGGGTGTAGATTGGATTGAATACAGGCCAGGTTCCATGTACTAACCAGAAGTGTTCACAAAGGAAAGACGAGAATTATACTTCATATAGATTACCCTTGGTCCAGATCATCTCTACTATGCTCCCTTAAACTCCGGTTCCATACTCCAAGACTTTAAGAGAGCCTTTACTAGAAGTTTTCAGTTGCAAAAAAAGCTATCTGTATAGCCAAGTACGCCAACATCCCCTTTGCGCTCTAAAACACGTAACTATTCAGGTTGCACAACTATACGAGACTCTCCAAAATAGTTGGGGAAGATGCTTCCCCGCTTTGGGGAACAACATATTGGGAAAATTATATAAGAATATCATAGATTCCTCATTACTTGAGTACGATCTTTTTTTTACCCCCCACCCAAATACTAATTACCTGTAGACAACAGTACTCGCCTATCCTAACCAAAATCTTTAAGCATCATTGTTCCCATCATGGCACCCACAACCATGAAAGCCATCCAAATCCAACAATACAACGAACCCTACCATATCTCCGAGGTGCCCATCCCCAAACCAAAGCCACACCAGGTTCTAGTCCGCATCCAAGCCGCGGGGTTCTGCCATACGGACCTCATGGCATTGAACAATGAATTCAACACAAAGCTGCCCTTCATCGGATCCCATGAGCCTGCCGGGATCGTCGAAGAGGTAGGATCAGAGGTTACGGGCTTCCGGCAAGGTGATAAAGTGGGTTGTATCAATTTCGACAGCGTCTGTGGTGAGTTACAAGGATAATTAATAGGCAACGTGCTGTTTATCTCCAATTCTTATAACCTTGTGTAGGTAAATGCGCGGACTGTAAAGCGGGTCTCCCGATTTACTGCGATGCGCCTTTGATGAAGGGTATTACGACGGATGGCGGCTGGGCGGAGTATATGGTTGCGTATGTGGTGAGATTTCAAACATACCTTCGGATGAATTTAGTTTATCTAATAAGGTTATGGTGATACTCTAGTGACGCTCGCTTTTTAGTCAAACTCCCAGATAAGATGGAGTTCAAGGTTGCTGCGCCGTTGATGTGCGCGGGTATTAGTATCTATGGGGGAATTGTTCGAGCGGACGTCCCCAAGGGCGGGTCTATTGGGATTGTTGGGATCGGTGGATTGGGCCATCTTGGGACGCAGATTGCTAAGTGCATGGTATGATTATTTTCGTTGTCATTGTCAGTATTTTAGATTAGTTCACTAAGCAGTTACGGAGGACACAGGGCTACAAGGTGGCGGCAATCGACGTGAAGCAGTCCGCTCTAGATGCAGTAGCATCTTATGAGCATAGCCCCGATGCTTTGATCCTGGCTACGGATCCAGTTGAGAAGTCCATGAACAAGATCAATGAGATGATTTCCTCAGATTACCCCGGACTGGGTGCCACCGTGCTTGCGACGGATCATCCAGCTGCGTTTGAGCTGGCGGCGTCTCTGACCAGAAAACATGGGACTATGGTGCTTTTGGGTCAGCCTGAGAAGGGGATCACCATGTCTTATCAGACGGTCATCTATAAGGATATCAAGCTGGTTGGTTCATTGGTGGCTGATACTGCGCAGGCGCAGGAGCTGGTCGAGTTGTTCCATCGGAACAGGCTTCACGTTGAGATCACGGAGTGGACGATGGAGGAAGCTGAGCAGATGAGGCAGTGGTATTGCTCGGGGGCCTCTAGTGGGAAGAATGTCATAGTTATGGACTAGTATGCATGTACTTAGTACATGATGTATCTAGTGTATGTACAAGCGGTCGCACTGCATAAGGATGCATGTCACTCACTACTTGTAGTAGAAAAGCCGCGGCGATCGGCTTTTGCTCGGCATCTCCGCCCAGTCACAAAAAAGGGTCTCGCCATCAACTGATTATTCATTCACATGATAACCATTTGTTCCACCGTCACAAAAACATCCTTCGGCTCTTTTTTTTTTGTTTGCTTCTCTTCTCGATACAACAACAACCCCTTTACCCGGTTCCTTCAATTCTCAGATCTCTTATCGGAACGAGTAAAGGTCGACTACCATCTGCAACGCATTTCCCTCCAAGTGATCATTGCTTTTATCTCCCCCCTCCCCCGCCTTTCGGAAATCATGTCCACCCCATCGGCATTGCCCGTCAATGCGGGCGATCCCCAACAGAACGACTCTGTGCCCGCTACCACCACAGCAGAAAATGCTAAGACGGCGACGACCACCGCAGCGGCTGTCCCAGAGACACCAGCGCAATCTGCAGACAAGCCACAAGCGCAACCTCAGCAACCAAAACAAGCAATTGACGATGACGATGACGACGACGAATCGGACCTGGATGAATTGGACGGTAAGTTTGGAGTATCATCTTTAAAACAAGTAGAACCAAAATTAAACAGCAATGCTCAAAAGATGTCCTCGACGACTTCAACAAGCCGAAGCCCGCCCCCGCCCCTGCCCCCAGCGCTCCATCTCAACCTGCGACCGCACCAGAAGCCGAGGACTTCGACGAAGAGACTTTTATGAAAATGCTTGAAAAAGACATGGCAAGTATGATGAATCACGCTGCCAAGGAGTCCGGGACATCGGACGACAAGGGCTTCGAGGATACCATCAACCAGGGCGCGGATGCCTTCACGAAGCAACTAGAGGAGAGCGGGATCCCGCCCGGTGACTTCATCAAGCAGCTTTTGGCGGATGTAATGGCTGAAGAAGAGAGTGGAGGAGATGCTACCGCTGGAGCTGCAGCAGCACCATCGACCGGCAGTGCTGGGTCTTCATCGGGTGGGGCTGGAGCTGGAGCGCCGCCTGAGTCGTTTAATGATGCTATTCAGCAGACGATTAACCGTATGCAAGAGTCCGGAGATAAAGCTACGGCGGCAGCGTCGGAAGCTAATTCGGACGATATGCTGGCGAAGATGATTAAGGCAATTGCGGCCGGCGCAGATATTGGAGAGGAGGACGGGGGATTTATGAATATGGTTGCGGCAATGATGGAGCAGTTGTCGAACAAGGAAATGCTGTATGAGCCGATGAAGGAGCTGAATGGGAAGTTTGGGCCCTGGCTGGTGGAGAACAAGGGCAAGGGGAAGTTTTCCGATGAGGAAATGGAGCGGTTTGAGAAGCAGGCGACTCTTGCATCGCAGATTGTGGCCAAGTTTGAAGAGCCAGGTTACACGGATGAAGATCCCAAGTGTCGCGACTATGTGTGGCAGAAGATGCAGGAGGTATGTGGTCCCTTTCGTTCTGGGTCTGTTGGGTTATGCTTACTGACCGGGTGCAGATGCAAGCTGCCGGAAGTCCGCCGGAAGAGCTCGTCGCGAATCCTTTTAGCGATGACAACGTAGGTCCTGCCGGTATGCCGGACTGCCCCCAGCAATAAACATCTGGTCTGGAAACTTCGTTCTTCCTGTGACATTTACCCCGTCTCGCTGCAAAGTGGTGCTTGCAGACCCCATTTTTTATGGCACTTCGAATGCATCTGGTGTTGGCATCTTCTGTACATATAACATTTCGATACCCTATTTACTAGCCGAAATGTCACAAGGCTATCTATCGCGACATGTATATCACAGACAAATACAAAGGCCGTTGGCCTGAAACAAATCAAATGTGGACCGCCAGCGACCAACCCAACCTAACGCCGTAACGCAGCTATCCCATATGTATTACCCAGTTCCCTGTATATTCTCCCAAGTCGTGTCGAAGTATCGTAATCCTCAGTAATTTCACCCCGACATATCCATATCCTGACTCAGCGCTGTGTGGTCGGCTAAATCCATGAATATATCCTCATACTCGCCATCACTGAACGATGAGCCTGGATCTTTCCATGCATTCCCAGCAGCTTGTCCAGAGGGCGCCTGCATATCCACATTCTCAAGCAACTCCATCTCCGTTGCCTGTTCTTGGGACAGATACTCATCCAGAGCCTGGATATCCGCCTCGTCTAAGAAACGATCAGGTTAATCATCGATCCCGCCAACAAGGTTACTGGAAGAGGAAAAGCATAGAAGAAAACCTACCAATCATATCATCAACGCCCTCTTCTAAATCCCTCAAGTATCCCTGCAGAATCCCATCCGTCCTCCTCCGCATCGACTCGCCCCACTTCTTCTGCTCCGCCACATGCTCCATCAACACCAGCTGCTCGCCTCTATTAGCGAAACGTGCATCGTCGCGCCCTTGCTTGATCCGGTTCAGGAAAACGTTGCGTCTTGTTTCGCGCGCCGACGGCGAACAAGAAGCGGCACCATTCTTGGACGCGTTATTCAACGGATTAGATATGGTGCTCGCATACCGCTGAGCATATGTAGGCGAAGTCTTGGAGCGGGAGGACGTGCCCGCGCCCTTCGAAGGCGAGGGCGAGACCGGAGACCCGAAGAATATACTTTCGGACTTTGTTCGTGACGCGACGGGTGTGTTGGTTTGACTTTCTGGTGCTGGGGAGAAGTGGAACGGCGAGGAGGATAATGAGGCCATCGGGCGCGCCGGCGAACTGCGAGGTGAAAGTGGAGACGGTCGTGCGGGCGCGGTAGCGCATTGCGAGAAATTGAACTGCTGCATGGGGGGAAGTGCAGCGAACATGATGCTAAGGATGATGGGCAGTGGTTTGCGCGTAGGATGGAGTTAGTGTAGGTATAGGGAGTTTGCGTTGTGGTTCCCCGGTTTGAAGATGGTGGGTATAGACGGTGGCGATACGCGTCTCGAATCTCGAGGTGCAGCTTTTGATGGGTCGATATCGTGTCAAAGTGGACTGGGGGACTTGGTGGGAGTAAGGAAGCCTAATTGATGAATTTATGTGGAGTCAAAGGCTACTCTGCTTCTAATGTACTCGTGTGCATGAGTTCTCGAACTCCAGCCACCGCGTAAGAAAGGTGGGCTGGCGGGATTCTTAGCGTTGAACCGCGAGCGCGTCCCTCACACGGCATCACGGGACACTAGTCCCAATGGGGTCATATTGCATTCCTGAGGCTGCAACGCTGGTCACTACTCCGTAGGCCTGGATGGATGTATGTACAGTAGATAACTTCATCAGTTCAGAACACGCCGTATCACATCGCTCGCCACCTTAGAGATCGCAGACAAGGTCGAATTCTGAATCGTACTGGATTGTGGTTTGGGCCAATTGCGCGGATACAGTGGTTGTATCTGTTGTCAAGCTGCTTGTTGTCGGCGCCGATGCTATGGTAGCACCCTGTGACGCAACGCTCGTAGATGATATTGTCGACATGCAACTGTCTATTTGGCAGTAGGTCAGAAAAAATTGTTGGTGGACTCCCAAGGCCAAACGTACTTAATTGATCCTGGCAATCTTGGAGGGAGAAGGATGATGACTGGTCCGTGTTTGCTATCTGAATACGAGTTAACGGAACTCTGCGACATTCGTCAATGGGTATAGTGCAATACTGACCTTCTGGCAGGAGTCGAATTGGTTGTTGCAGCTGATGGATGGACTTCGGTGTTAGATAAGGATTCCACGTGGGACAGTGAAACATGGGACGTGGAACTAAAGGTGAACTACCTTCTCGAGGCTGCTGATTCATAATCCGTCTATGAGATATGGCTTTGGTTATCATTCGGTAGTAGGAAAAATAATAAATGGAAACATACAAACGTATCGCCATCCACGCCGTACGGCCTTTCAGAATCACCCGTGTTTGTAACCTAGGTACATGTCAACATTAATTCTCACAAGCCAGAATATTGTGGAACTCACAGCGGGTGCAGAGGCTCCTAGTGTTCCCGTAGATGCCTAATGAGAGATTCAAGATGTTAGGATCTAGCTTCAATCGTGATAACGGAATAGTCGACTACCTGTCGCTTGTCTACAGAGGCTGGCGCATATACCAGCCCGACTGGATCCAGGATGAGGGCGCGAGCGCCGAACATCAGAAGAGCGCTGATGATCATTAACAGAAAAGTCGCCATGTTTCGGGCTGTTACTCTTGTGGCATGAGTATGATCACTCGGATACTAAGAGGAGCAGCAGCATATTGAACGTAGGTAGTGCTGTGTAATAATATTAATTGGATAAGGGTCAATCGTCATCTGCTGGACAATTTTACTTCGCGCATAATAATATTCCGTGTCCAGCGGCTGGGGATTTGCATAGATTAGGTTTCCTATTCGACACGGGGCGAATCCTTGCCTGTATGGGAGTGACGGCGGCTAAAGTGTTCTATTAACAGGAGCCTTTGGTGTTTCATCGGTCACACTATTCCGATGATTATCCACACGCGATATACAGCCCGTGCTTCGAGGTGGTGCTGAATAAAACACGTTCGAGCTAGTTTCTGTGGCAATTAAATACATATATATCAGGGCAAAAAAAAAAAAAAAAAGCTTTTTTGTTTAGTTGGACCGCCAGACGATTGTCCAACCAAGCTATCGAACAGAAAGAGACGGTGAGACGGAGGATACCGCACATCTCAGTATCTCTACGTAGAACCAGTGCTTCGAGCGGGGGAATCAAAGACAACAAGCCAACCATGAATGCTAAAACAAACCGCTGTACGTGGAAAGGGGCGTGATCTTGTGAAAGGAATGACAGGCGTTCTATATGAACTGTATGCAATCAACAAGGACATCGAAGGTTGCATACCAAAGGGGAAAAAAGAGAAAAAAGAAAAAAAGACCCAATATATCTTCACCAACAAGCGCCAATGATAACTGCGTAATACTCGTACAAACTTTACAGTGTCGAAATCACTGGACCATCATGTACTCTGCCCACGTCTAGATTGCAAGGGCCAGGTACGGCCAAAGAAAGCTGTCACGTTAAAACCGCCGGGGAGTGACAAGCACTTGGCTCGCTTAGAAATTCGACGCGGCATTGACAGGACCGGGGTTATGGTATTGGTCCAAAGTGCTCTTGAAGGGTGTTCCACCAGCCCCGGGGCTGGGAGCCTTCTCCCGAACGCCGGAGCCGACAGCGGTACCGCTCATGAGGTCCGTAGCTTCATCGTTGTCGTGGGCATTACGCTTGCGTGCATGAATCCTCCAGGCAACGACACCAAGAGCACCGATCAGAATTGCACCACCTACACCGACAACAACACCAATGATGGTCTTCTTCTGGTTAGAAGAGAGGCCCGAGCTCTTCGAGTCCTTCTCTTCCCCGTTCAGCGAAGGAGAGTCGGTTGCGCCTACAGCAGCGGACGAGGTGGTGGTAAGCGTGGTGTGAACAGGCGTTCCACTGACCGTCTGGATAGTAGTAAGGGTCTTCACAACAGGAGTTTGGGTGGTTTTCGAGCTGTTGTCCGTTGTAGTTGGGGAGTTGTTGTCGTTGTTGTTGCTATCTGTTGTAGGTCCGCTGGTGGTTGATGCCGATGTTTTCGTTGGCTGGTCGGCCGTGGGTTTAGGGGGATCTGTGGTGGAAGTTGACGAGTCTGATGTTGATGTTGTTGTGGGGTCAGCCTTGGTGGTCGTTGGCTTGGTCTCACTAGTTGTCGATGTGCTTTCTGTAGACTCGGACGAAGACGAAGAAGTTGATGATGTCGACGATGTGGATGTTGTGGTCGCTTCTGTCGCGGTAGGTGCGGCATCCTTAGAGGTAGCGACATCTCCACCGGTAACCGCTACGCTCTGACCGGAGACAGCGGCCAACAGGGACAAAGAGTATAAGAAAAACGAAAGACTGGAGACTCGCATGGTGGGCGGGTGATGCGGGATGAAATCGATCAAAGTGGTCTCGATCCGAAGGTCCGGAGGCGATGCAGCGAAAGACAAGGCGATTCAATCTCGTGACTCTATGACTGACGGATACTCCGGAGACTTCCAACGAGGGGATAGGAGGTGACAGAAGGGAGAAAAAACGATCGTACTTATCAAGGGGGGAAACTCAGTGAACTGCAGGTGCAGGAGGGGTTAACGAAAGACTAGATAGATATACGTATGAGAGGCACGATGTAGGTACGAGAAGAGAAAAGAGCGTAAGGAGGCGGGATAGAGATGAAAAAGGATTGGAGGCGGAGGGCTCATTGAAGAAAGGGAAGAGCGCGCGGTCCCACTCTGACTGGTTCTTCCGGCTAATCACTCACTCATCATGTGTTGGCTTGGTTGCGAAGGACGCTAGTCCTCATTCTTTTCTCTCTTTTTTTTCTTTTCTCTCTTTATTTGCCCTTGTTCCATACCACACGCGGTTAGTGAGGTCCGATCTAACTAGGATTTTACCGAACAGGCGGACCAATGCACCAATACTAGCAAAGATGCCCGATGTGGGTGTGCGCTAGTGTCAACTTGGAAAACTAAGCCTCCCCACTGGCCAGTCAGTAGGTGTGGGCTGAGACATTCTAGCCAGGAGAGACCCGTCAACATACTAAAAAATTGGAGCGCTGGGGGGTCGGGGGTGTGTGCCTGACCTCTCGGGGCAGAAACTCTGTTTGGCTCCGCTATTCTTCGCTATCACCATTAGCCCATACGACCGTTTTCTTCTTAGCCCGTCAGCTGTCAATGTTGGTCTACAAATGGGGAAACATCAGAGCAATTGTCCATACATAACGGGAAAATCGTGGGTGAGATGATCTTCCTGAAAACTTATTAAATTCAATTCATTAAAAAAACTGTGCTATTTTAAGGAACGTTCCACGGTACGCCTGCCCAGAAACCATAGGACACTTGGCTGCTGAGTTGTTTGACATCGTTTATGCAACCATGGTTCTTAGGTAATGCTACATAGGGGAACACAAACAGTCCTCTTAATCGACTACCTAAACATCATAATCTCCCCACTCCCCCCAAGTCAAGGATTTTCTTCGCCTCTCTTTTAAATACCGTGCCTATCCGAGGATTCCAATAGCAGCAATAAAAGACGGAACATCCTCGGGCTTTCTATTGAATTCCCCTTTTCCCTTTCAGGCCCATCTACTAGTAGACTACTACCTACTTTGTGCCGGTACTGCCGACCGGGTAAACGCCGATCGTCTTCAGTTGAGACATTCAAGCCCTAGCAAATCTTACGCATTAACTGTCGGTCTGTTGACCACCCGAAGGAAGATCGGAAGGATTCGTAATATTGCTGTCCTTTGCGCTGTACTATCTCTACCCGTAAGATCAGTATACAGGGCTTTGACTCTGTGTATGGCTGTGCATAACTGCATCATCCAACAACTTTTCCCACGACGCAGGGTGTGACGATCGACAACAGGTGACGAGTTCTAGATTCTGATGTTCTGGACCACCACCTTCTTCTTCTTCTTTTTGCTGCCACATCATTTGCTCGTCACTTCGAACGAACGTGTACTAACGAAATCAGGTGTACATACTGTGCGTCATAATACTCAGGGTACATGTACCGAGATAGTCACGTACTCCGTACAAGCCACTAGTACACATTAGTAATTCGAATCTACTAGAGAGTAACACTCACATGACTCGACGGTAGTTTTTACTGTGGAGGCGAGGGTCATGCAGGTTTATAGACGTTCGAGATAATTTCTGATCTACCAGCGTGATGCTCGAATATATATAGTAACTGAGATTATTCGTTGCCACTGTTTGTGTGACGGCCCAACGGGCTCGTCTACTAATAATTACCTATATCACCTTGTCATACAACTGGTATACGTGACTAGATCAAGCCCTGCATTATCCCTGTCCGGTAATCTCCGGCTAGTAGTCCGGCTGCCCCGGGACATCCAGCCCTACTTATTCCAGGAGATGGATGAAACCCGGTCCTACAGAGGATAATAGATTTGCAACGCAGAGACCACTAGCTCGCTTTGGAACAAGGAACTACACAACGATGACATGGCACAGAGGAAGAGGTGACTTTGATAGGCGTCCATGTCATGCTTCACATTTTAGGACCTTCAAAATGCGGCATTGACACCCTCGCAGCATGCTTATTGCAAGACTGAGGGGAAGTTTTGCTTGATTCCCGGATATCTGTCGAGGAATAGCATTATAATGTGCCTTTGTTCGCAAAGAAGCTTAATGGTATCCTTACGAGGTTGGGGCCATTTGGTAGCTACTGATCATATAGCAAGCGGAGGGAGTATCGGAAGCTCGGAAGACTGCGTACTCCCTGCAACAATCACACTGCTAAAGACCGTTATTCACTGTTCTTGGACATATCTATATTAGGTTGACCCTACTTGTTGTGGTTATTATGTGGGAACGAATTTGAAGACAACACTTAAGAATTCATCGCCAACATTAACCATGGGAAACGATGTGGGGGTTTATGACGTGTTTATTTTCTTTTCTTCTATCTTTTTCTTTTTCTTTTTTCCCGTTGTTTACTGCTTAAGCCTTCAAGCATGAAAAAGCGTAATGATCTAAGACTCAGTGCATGCACATGCCGACACATGCCTGCTAGCTGTCACTCGAAGGTGAGTCTTTATCTCCTCGGGAGCATATCGACCGCTGTTCACGGAAGCGTTTGGTTTATAGCCCTTACACTAGATCAACACTGGTTTCAGGATCAAAAGAATGGTAGCTCGATTTCAGATATTGCTTTCCATTGATATGTACGCTTCCAACTTCAAAGCCCAACTAGACCACTGACAGAACCGGATGGGCAAAGCGGATGGAGCGGTTGACATTTTATCTCCGGATGGAATGAGGGATGTAGCTCACGGTGCAGAAAAGTTACAGCCCAATCTATATCCGGTCACACAAGCGTGTGAAATGTAAAAGCATGAGATCAACAACGAAGGTGAGGGGAGAAGAAAATGAAAAGACAGAACATAGGAAAATAGAGAAGAAACACTAAATTGGGTATCATAGTAGTCATAATCGTACACAGAACTTGTGGAATGATCGAAATCATATGCCGAAGCCCATGGTTAAAACTTATTCGGCGGTTTTCCTTTGAGCTGGTCTTTGATCTCTTCCTTAAAGTATTCGACAAACTTGCTCAAACCGGGTCCTAGAGATGCCATCAGCACCAGCTCTACACATGGACATTCCATCTTGTAAGCATATGAGTGCCATACCATTATTGTCTCTATGAGTACCTCCCATTTCTTCGGGAGGTACCCCATGTTTTAAATGTTGAACCTTTTGATGGACCCGTCCCACCAGTCTGTGAAACGTCGGGCTGGCCAGCAGCTATACGAGGATATATCAGCATGAAACTTGCGCGTAGGCGGTTGTGTGGATGTGCATACCCGAGCAGTGAGCCAAACCTAATTGGAGGGAAATGAGTCAGTCATAGATGCCATCGAGGATGGCAGTAGAATGAAAGCTGGTCTGGAACCAGGCGATTACGTACCTCGAAAGTTCGGAGCCAGAACATTCGGAACACCATCTTGCGAATGGGCTGTTAGTACCTAGTAATCAAGCCTCATGAGGCAAATGTATGGAGAACGTCGATGGTGGCTGATAAACAGCGAGACCACAGGTCTCAGGAGCTGAAGGGAAAAGGAAAAAAAAAAGAGGAGGAAAAAGCCGAGGAGGTTTTTCTGTGCTGTCAGAGAGAAACAGAAAGAAGACTAGTCAGAAAAGTGGCCTTTCCAAGTCAAGCCTTTAGCTGTGCCACAACAGATGACCTGCAGCCAGTTAAAAGCGACGGTTTCAGTCCACCAGCCGGGTTTAAATTTGTGGCAAGTAAATTTTGACAAAACTCGTGCAACGGGAGGAATTAAACGTGGAATGTGTTATCATTACTCTTTTTAGGTAGATCTATGGATCTGATCGTCTTGTAGAAAAATTCTCCAGAACTCCTCCTGTACAACAAATTTAATTCTATTTTGATTGTATTTATGACCATTCCTATCTGATTATATATCTTTTTCTTGTTCTTTTTTGTTTTACTTTACTTTTTATTCTCTTCCCCAAATTCCAAGATCTTTCTATAATTTCAATTTATCCTTCTTCAGATTACATCACCGTCCATGTCACGCCGATAATTCCATTCTCATTGAACCCCTGCCGTGATCCCCTGGAAACCTTTTCGATTCTTTCTTTCGTTCTTTGCTGTCTTGAACTTCTCCAATCATCTGCAAGACTTGATCTGACTGTTACATTGATCCCGACAATTGCCCCTTATAATTACTTCTCCAAATCCTGGACTGCTGGCACGTCCTTCAAGTATAGAAGTGCGGGGGAATAACGGGGATTTTTTTTTTTTTTTTTTATTTCTACCTTCTCCTTTTCATTCTCTTCCTTTTGCCTTGTTGCAAGGGATAATTAATATCTTTGTTTAATTTTGTCTTTTTTGCTTTCCATTGACATTGTGCCCCTCGTTCTATCTATATTTACGGGCTGTGAATCTGTGGTTTTTCTTTTTAAATAATAATTCGCGCCAACCCCATCGTTCCTTCTGTCTTCAGCGAGAGTGAACGTTATCGACATTGCGCGGTGTCGTGAGTTTCAACGTCGTTTGGTCTCCGACTTCGCCGATATCCGCCCACTAAGATTTGGCAGCGATTTGCTCCGGTAAGATCTAAAAATCTGGCCAAGCAAATTACGACGAGGGGCAGCTTCCACAGCTGTCCCGATCTGTCCACACTACAGATATCATCCCTGCCGCAACCGCCGAACGGCGCGAACGACGATCCGTCCGGCATTGAGGGGGAACTTGTTACTGCACCACCTTCCCGCTCTACATCGCCCGACGCCTTCAGCCTCCGCTCCGGACCCCGAAAGCTTGTGTCGACTAAGAAGCGGGTCTCAAGAAAGGCGCGCGGCGTCCTGGGCAAGGTTCGGGCCTTCCAAAGGATCGCTGCGGCCAAAATGGCTCATCCCACCATCAAGATCGATACAAACGTCCAAGCGACCAAGCGCGCCCTTCCCGAAGACAACGATGAAGGCTTCGAGGTCTTAGATGGACCCGATCAGGATGACCCGGGTCTGGAAGCTGGAGATACTGAATCCGTTCCGCCTTTTCTTTGCCAGTCTGTCTTAGGTTGGTCCGCTCCTGTTCCCACTACTCTGGATGTTCTTCGGCCATGTTTCAGTAGAGCTAATCAGATGGCTGTTCCAACCTCCAGAGATCCATCAGAAATTTGAGGAACTCGAATGGATACAGCGGGCACGTCTTGCAGAAGGAATGCTCGCCAACGATCCCTCCCATCGTTGGGCGCTGGAGGCCGATCCGGAGGTCAAGGCAAGGAACCGATATATCAATGTGCAGGCGTGGGCAAATTCTCGTATCCATCTTCGGGTAAACGATGGCGAGTGCGATTTTATCAATGCCTCGCCGATTACTCTGAAGGATTCTGTGTCCCAGCAGGAGAGAAGGTATATCGCGACGCAGGTAAGCATGCCGCGTGTTGGTAAATAAGTGTGCTCTCTAATCACTCTATTCCAGGGACCCAAGGTAGGAAATATCTTCCACTTCTGGCACATGGTATTTCATGAAACGAAGGAAGTGGGTGTCATCGTTATGCTTACGCAGACGTTCGAGTCCGGACGAGAAAAATGCTCTCAGTATTTCCCTCTCAACAGCGATAATTCTTTGGTACTTCTGCGGGAAGATGAGCGTGACCCATTTGTTAACAATGAGAACCACCCGGTCGGAGATGAAAACGTCGTGGGCACGGTTGCGCTGCTAGAAACCGCTTTTGACGAGAAGTCTCGTTCCGAAATCCGCAAACTACGACTCACTTTGGGTGCTGAATCGAAGATCGTTTGGCATTTCCTCTTTGCTGGTTGGGCGGATTATTCCAAGCCTGAAGGCGATGACCGCAGCGCACTTCTTCATTTGATTGAGCAATCAGGCTCCAAGAGCTCCCCGGATAACCCACGTATTGTGCACTGTAGTGCTGGTGTCGGCCGAACAGGCACTTTCATTGCCCTTGACCATCTGCTACTGGAGCTTCAGTCTGACCAGTTGTTGCAAGTGACTGACCCAGAGGCTGACCCAGTCTTTGAAACGGTCAACCAAATGCGCGAGCAGAGAATGATGATGGTCTACAATGAGATGCAGCTGCAGTTTATTTACGAAGTCTTGCGAGAACAAACTGACCGGAAGCTTGGGAAGGTCCCTGAAATCAACGGGCGAAAGTCCGATGAGCGGTCCTCGAAAATGGCCAAGTTATCTACCGAGTCCGACTACCTGCCTTCTTCGAAACCAGAGCTGGAGCCTGTCTCAGATCGTGCCTTCACACCAACCAGAAGCTGGTCAGGAACCCCAGAAGTCTCCGACAACGAATAATGGCTTTCTCGCTCTTGGTTTCATTCCGTCGCATCACGAACAACTCATTAGGCTGCGGCAGAGCCATTTTTCACTGCTATATATATAGTTCTCTTAATAGCTTTCTCGTCTGTTTCCCAAGTTGCAGCATTCACGACGAACCATGAGTTCCTGACTTGCATTCGACCTCACGCCTTTCTTGCGCTTTGTTGCATAACATCTTACCATGTTTGAATATCCAATTTACGACACTTATGTCTTCCACTCGTGTATTTGCTAGAAGTCTTGTGTGGGAGCATTACTGCCACTGTTTATGATTCAGTTCCAGTTTTTAAGGTACTGAGAATCCTATACGAAGTGCTTCAAGCATCTTTTTCACTATTTTTCATTCTTCGCTGTATAATTTACTGGGCTGTACGATTATAGCATGAGAACTAGTGTAAGAGTAAGATAATAGGATATACTTTCAGCAATATTCTGCTCCGTATGCTAGAAAGCGCAAAGCTTTTGACCTTATTTACAACGCCGGAAGTTCCTGATAAAAAGAACACGCCAGAAAGCCGAGCCCTAATGTACTAGGATGGACCGCAGATCCACAAAATGAGATAGTAAAGAGTAAGATCGTAAAGAGTGTTATATCCTGCAAATGAATCATCAAACAAGCTGAGCAACATAGCAATCACGATCTGTGATATTGCTTGAAGGAGGGCGTAAAACATGACGAGCAAATCGGTATAATAACCGGCCATGAGGGACAGAGGAGTGATATGGTGATATTGGGTAAAGATGGCATTGGCGTGAAGGTTGGTCTTCCCTGCAACAACGACGAAGTATATTTCATAACGATTAGATTTAGATCCCAATGTAGATCGAATTAGTCACTTCGTTTTTTCCCCTCTCCCTTGTCCCCATTGGCGGCAGGAACGGAAGGTTTCGAGCCATCCCCGGTCAAACCGGAAGGCTCGCCCGCACCGTCGTCCGAATCCCAGTTATCGACGGCATTCTCATCCCAATTGTCGACCTCGCGCTCCAGATTAGTGACCCCCGTTTCCTGGGGTTCTAGCCCCTCCGGCTCATGGTCGGTTTCACCATGGCCCGGGCCGACGCCGAGCTCAACGTCATCTGTGGCGTCTCCAAGAGCTCCAAAGCGGGCTTTGCGCCGCCTTTCCAGCATCCGCCGGTGGTACCAACTGCACAAGCCGACTGCGCCGAGACTGCCCACGATGTTGGCGAGGAGGTCAAATGGGTCAAACGAGCGACCATTGGGGAGAATTCCTTGGACAATCTCGGAGCCAATTCCTAGAACGGCGGTGCAGACAATTAATGTCAATTGTAGCGTGCGTCGGCGGGTGGTGTCGGGAATCCAGTAGAAGATAAGAGACAGCAGAAAGAACGTCACGACATGGAGAAACTTGTCATTGGGTTGTAGTTGCGATGGGACGCTCGGGGATGCACTGTGGGGGAGAAGACCGATATAGGCAGCCAAGAGCAAGAGGAAGACGAAGGCGCCTGCGGAGTTTCGGATAGTTAGTCACTTATGTAGGACGAATGTCTATGATGGTTTCCTGGAAGAGGAGGTGTAAGAGGAGGAGGAAGCTGTGGATCTTGTCAACAGAGGTAACATACCCGCGAAAGGATAGCGGATCCGCATGGTGGTTGTGTGGTGGTCAAGGAAGCGTGCGGAGAGAAGTTGTGGTCGAGAAAGAGCAGCGATGATGATTCCGGGTGCGTCATGTGCTTAACTGAGAGAACGTAAGGTCGGATGGGGAATCAGATATCAGAACACCAGCAACAATGAAAAAGGTACCTTCTTTGAATTCATTGTCACCACCATCCAATCTCTAGTTACAGGATGTTGGGAGTCCACACCAACTAAGCCACTAAATTATACAACGAACTATATACACAACACATTTTCCAAATATAATATACCGGATAAGAAAACCGTTGATCATTCTCTGGAGAACTGCGCGGTTGGTCTGAAGGCTGCGGCGGCCGTTCCGCCTTCACGGGATCGACTTCACTTCATCCGTTCGCGCAGAGAACCTCGTACAGAAGCCGTTCACTTCCCCATCAAAATCTCCGCCCGTCCCATCGTTTTTGGGTCGGAGATTATCGTCTCTCTCTTCTCTGCACCTCCTAGTTTGTCTCTATGTTTTTTTCCGCCAGCCAAGCCGCCCTGTTGCTGCCTCTCCACACCTGAATTTAACCGTGGAGAAACGAGCCCCCTCGCCCGCCCCAGAACCGGGGTTTTGGAGCGAGCATGTCGCTCGGACACCACCACGCCTGGTTGCCGCCAGGACATCTTCGGCCTCCCGATGATCATCACGATTCGCGGTCAATCAATGGCTACTCGAAATCATTATCCGGCCCCAGAACACCCCAAATGCGCGCCTCGGTCGACGCTGATGGGTCTCACGCGGGTAATCTGATATCGGAGGCTGATATGGCAGCCGAGGAAGACCCACGCATTGCCATATTTCGCGATCTATACAGACGCAGTGAGGCGAAAATAAATAACTTATTTGCTGGCCAGAAACACGTGGAGGACCTCGTCGGCGCCGCCGTCGCGGGCGCTGATGAGTCCGACACCAAGAATGAGCGCGCTGATGAACCTGCACCTGCTCCGGTTCCCGCTAAGAAACCCGCGAGGAAGCTGGATGATGATGACTATGATGACTATGACGATGACGATGATGGGGATGCTCCATCTCCACCAAAGCCTAAACCCCTCACCCCTTCCCAGGAATCCAGTGCCCCTCCTCCCTTAAGTCGCTATACGAGTGGTACGACATCAGCAGGCGGCGATGCTTCGAAGGAGACGAAGAAAGAGTCGTTGGAAGATATCCGGAAGAAGTTGGAGGAAGATAAGAAGGCGACCGAGGAAGCTGCGAAGAGAAGCTTCCATACTATCTTCTATACGCTAGAAAATGACCGAGATGCTATGTTGGACCAACAACGCCTAGAAGAGTCTGAACGGCAAGTTGAAGCCGAAATGTCGAGCCAAGTCAATGCTGGCAATAATGCGACTTCAGCTTCAAACGGTTACGGTTCGTTGAGTAATGCTAACCTTGGCGCGTCGAGTCTAACGTTGAAGAATCTTATCGCGAGAATCGACATGAAGCGGACAATGGTGCAAGCCTCTGATGCGGAGCTTCGGAGTTTGATGAGCGAGGTTCGGAAGAATCGCAGCAAATGGGCCAGTGAGGATAAAATTGGCCAGGAAGAGCTCTACGAAGCTGCGGAGAAAGTCCTCAGCGAGCTCAAAGCGATGACGGAGCATTCGAGTGCTTTTTTGACTCGTGTGAATAAACGAGACGCGCCAGATTATTACACAAGTACGATATACCCTTAATTTGAAGCCGCACACCTGTACTAATTCGTTAAACAGTCATCAAGCATCCCATGGACCTGGGAACAATGACTAAGAAGCTGAAAGCGCTCCAATATAAGTCAAAGCAAGAGTTTGTTGATGACCTCAATCTGATCTGGTCCAACTGTTTCAAATATAACACAAATCCGGACCATTTTCTGCGCAAGCATGCCTTGTACATGAAAAAGGAGACGGAGAAGCTTGTTCCTCTTATTCCAGAGATTGTAATCAGAGATCGTGCTGAAGTTGAAGCAGAGGAGCGTAGACTTCAGCTCGCGGAGCTTGACGGTGCAGAAGAGAGTGACGATGAGCCTATTATGTCGTCCAGAGGTAGGAAAGCTCCCGGTAAATCGTCCAAGAAAGGTGCTGCTCCGGCTCGAAATACTCCTAGCGGATCTGAACCCCCTGCAGGTGCATCTTCCCAGCCACCTGCACCAGTACGCGCGGACTCTGATGTTCCTGCCGATGGCACGCAAAACGGTTTCGCGACACCACCACCCGGGACGCAGACACCTTCAGACCCTACTGGCGCCGTGGCTGGCATTTCCGGAAGCCATGGTGATTCTATGGACATTGATGGCTTAGCGCCATCGACCAATGCGCTTAGTGCTTTATCAGCGCCGGGTGCGGAAGCTGAGGATCCTGAATACAAGGTCTGGAAGCAAGTCACGAAAAAGGACAGAGCTCTTATCGCTGCAGAAAGGCATCGCTTGTTCAAAGGTGACAAGCTAAACTCGGAAGAACCGGCTCTACTGCGCACCAAAGCTGGTATGCGAAGGTGGCTGAGAAATCAGATACAGAGTAATGCGGAGGGTGATAAGTCCAATGAGCCAAGTGCACAAGCCATGGAGCCTGGTCCGGCTGGTGAATCTCTTGCCGAAGGTATTGAGGTTGAAGAGGATAAAGTGATTCCTGACTATTACGATGTTATGTCAGGTGTTCCTGATCTGCCTGGACAACTTCTCTGGAGGGAAGACTCAGATGGCAACATCGTGGACGCTTCCGAGGAGTTTTTAAGGGTCCTGCCGAAGGGAACATTCACCCAGCCCGAGAGCAAACTTTCCCGCAAGATGGATGCAAATATGCGGCAAATGCAAGAGACTCGAAAGATTTGCTCCAAAATCGGCATTGTCAAGCAGATGCAGTTGCAATCTCAGGTATGTTTTGCTCGGTCCTGTAGGCGCTGGTCAATATTCTAATTTTGATTGTAGATGTACCAGAACCAGTTCCAGAAATATCAGCCGGAACCATTTGTTGAGCATGATGTTCCACCCCATGTAATGAATGATGAAGGGCCTGTCGTTTCTCCATGGGTTTGCAAGGCAGCTTTGCAGCGCTCCGTTGCAAAGATATTCTACCATACTGGATTTGAGGAGTACCAGCCGTCAGCTCTTGACGCTGTCACTGATATCGCATCTGATTTCTTTCAGAAGATAGGAGAAACGTTCAAGTCTTATATTGAGGCACCCAAAGTTCCTGCCGGCGATTCAACGGACATTGTGTCTTCAAGCAATCAGTGGAAAAAGGCATACACCGAACCAGAAATTGTGCTTCACACACTGAACTCTGTCGGCATTGGTGTTGAGGATATAGAGTCTTATATAAAAGACGATGTGGAGCGACTTGGTACGAAGCTGGCGACCGTCCATGACCGCTTGAGGTCTTTGCTTTCTGAGCTGTTGCGGCCTGCCCTTGCCGATGGAGGTGAAGATGGTTCCAATGCATTTGCAGATGGCAGTGAACAGTTCGTTGGTGGTGACTTCGCGGAGGACATTGACGAAGATTTCTTCGGATTCAAGGAGCTTGGTCTGGATAAGGAATTTGGCTTGGCTACTCTCAGTGTCCCGCTTCACCTCCTTCAGAATAGGATGTACAACGCTGCGCAGTCCCAAAACACAAGGTATGGTGGACAACTCCCCGATGCATTGTTGATACTCACTGTTTATTAGTTCTACCCAAACCGTAACCCTTTTCCCGCCGCCCCCTCCATACCCTCGGATCACATCGGAGACGTTGCCGTCACAAATTGGATTGGTCCAAGCATTTTTCGGTGCCAAATTACAAGCAAACAACAACGAGGGCTTGATTGAGGATCTTGAACTACCACCAAAACAAAGGCCAATGGCTGCTAAGCCTCGTCTTCCAGCCTCTGGCAAAATCCCGCCACCCTCTGCCCCGACCGGGCCGACATCTAGCCCTCAAAAGCGCCCGCTCCCTCCGACAGCTCCTGGTCAGCAACCAAACGCTATCAAGCCAGGGCCGTCAGAACCCAGTAAGAAAAAGGTCAAGAAGAACAGTGGCGTGGCTCTGGAAATACATGGATCAATTGCCGATGGGGACGAAGCTGCAGCGAACCTGGATGGCGCTAAGACTACCGATGATCCAACATCGGCAAACTTGGATTCCAAGGACTCTGCTGCCGAGGTCTCGGGGGGCCCCGTGACCGAGTCTAGCAACGTTAAGAACGGACTAGATAATCCCATGTCTGACGTTACCGCTGCTGGTGAAGGCGCTGGTTTTATCGGTGATGCCAACGGCGATCCAAACAAAAGTAACGACAGCACGGCTCCTTTGACAAACGGTACAGCGGGCGATGCATCATGATGTTGGTATACGAAACATACCGAACCCCTTGTTGCTGGCTGAAATGGTACTTGTATAGCCTTTCCGCTACACATTTGGATGACTCTCTTTACTATCCTCCTGGGACCTACAACCCTTTTTGTTACAATTTATTTCCGCATCATATTTCGTTTTCAATGTTTTGTTCCCCCCCTAAAGTGCATGAATACCCGGCATTTCTGGTGGGGCAGGTAAAGCCAGTTTCTTGGGCATGAATTAGACAACAACACACATTTGAACACCGGGGGGCGCTAGCGATGAGACATCCAATATACGGCTTTTCTGGCAGCCCCGCTCTCTTCCCTTTTCCATCCTTTCTCAATTTATCTGTATTGAGGACCGGAACATTGAAACAAAAAAGAAAACAGGTGATTATATGGAATGGCGCAGCATGGCATGATTTTAGAGGGAATAACAGCACAGCAACGCACGCATTTTCTGTACCGGCTGATTCTAGTCCTTGACCCTTTTTTTTTTATATCCTTCTTTGGCTTCGAGACAAAGAATACACCCCAGAGCAGCCAATCAGTTCGGACCAAATTGTTCATATCTGGGCGTCTTTCCTTGCCTCTTTTTACTGTACTTTGGTGATTCCTCTTCTATACCATGTACTCGTATGCTGATATAAGCGTGCGCAGTGTTTCTTTCCCTCTTCATTTGGATTTCGTTTCTTTCCCCCACCTACTACTTTTTTCCCCTCGTTTTGCTTGCTTGTTCATGCCATGTATCCGCTTTTCACTTGTTTGCTCTACTGGTTCATTCATCATCGATATATTATCCGACATTCCTGCTCTGTTATTCTAAACAGAGATCAATACTCGTACAGTACATAACTTGTTATCTGACATAAAGACCTTAACAGTCCAGTACCTGGCTAAGCTGCAGATTAAAGCCAAGTTTTGTCTCGATCGACTATCTTACCTATTAGTGTAACACTCGATTCCCATTTCATTATTCAATGACACCCAAGACTTAGAAATACGAAGACGATTATATCTACTCCCGTATGCTACGTGGATGCCTGGTAGTGAAGGACGTAGCAAAGCAAGTTGAGATGAGATTGTTAAAGCTAAAGACATTCCTAAGGTACACACATTGGAACTCTCGCCCGCAAGAACCGCATCCTCCAGATCCATCCGCCCTTGCCAAAGGCAGTCAGGCCCGGTGGCGCAGCTGTTGTTGACTTGAACCTCTAAATGTATGACTAGGAGTAGTGGAGAGTCCTGATAACATGAACCAACGCAGTAAGCTGAATTGAAAGAGCGGAGATAACCCAGTCCATATGCCAGACATGGCTGGGAAAAACTAGACAAGTGGTGAAAATAAATTTCGTCGCTTTGCGTAACAGTCAAGTTTCCATATAGCCAGCACCTAGATGTACCAGACTGCGAAGGGCAGTCTATTTGGAGTACCATGAATTGGCAAGAGTCTCGGGTCGACTGGCTTATCCTTGGGCTTAGGGTTCGTCATTGGAACTTCGCGTCCGCTCCGCGGACCAGAACTGGCAGGAACATCTTCATGATGACGAGCGCGGGCCGCAATAAGATGTGCATAGTAAACTGCGGGGACTATAATTGCTCATGTTAGTCACGGAATCTTGTACAATAGGGAGCAAAAGGTGCGTACACAATGAAACCGAAGTAGTAGACCGCAGGTACTGATAACAATGATCATAGATCATGTTCTCCAGCTGATGTGCCTTGTGCCCGATCTGGTCCAAAATAACATGGTAATGGACGGGTCGGGAGGTTCCTTGAAGTGCGACGTGGGAGTAAAGGAAGAAGTCCCAGTCATGCGGGCTGGTAACGTCCTTCTCAATGAGCAGCCCTGGAAGTGGGTTACCATTTTTGTCGGCCGCATTGCGATCGGTCGGCTTAGGGAATGCTCGGATATGGTGACGTTTGTTTGCGACTATGACGGTAAACTTTCCCTTCCATCTATCTTGGGTCAATTTCATAAAGATAGACTTCATGTCCAAGACTTCCTGCTTGAGAATCTTTTCTCTCTCTCCCTCTGAGACACCATCGCGGAAGTAATAAACGTTATCGGGAGCGCGTCCTTGACCAACAGTAGACATCCACTCTCGCACCAGTGGGGTAAGTATATGCTCCATATTTGCACGAGCGATAATCTCAACTCGGTCACCGTTAGTCTCACAGGCACCCCAGTAGCGTCCACCAAAGCTATCCATGCAGACGGATACAGCCGCCATCGAAGGCGACCAGACACCTATCGTTGGATGCGTGACATCCGCGCCAATGATCATCGTCATTGGTTTGAGGCTGGCATCATTGACTTTTGGTATGATACGAGCAGTGGTACCCCCCAGCTTGGCGTTGACTTTCATCAAAACGTTTGAGATATACTGCGGGTTCGCCTTAGCCACGTGGGCAGACTGTAAGACCTGGGAAGGCACACCCCAACGACAGTCACAGGACTTCTTAATCCGGAGGTATGTGAAAGAGTTCTTGTCCGGGACGATGATCAATAGGAGTTGGGGCTCCTTTTGAAATTTGTTGCCGGTAGAGTTGAAGAGTCTCTTTATGGCCTCGCCGGTGTCCTCTGAGAGTTCAGCAATCAAGGGACGTTGGGTGATGTTGCCTCCATGGCCAGCGTAGGTCTTCATGAACCCGTCAACAAAGTGCTCCACTTGGGTTTTGTTGATGGCGTTGCGTTTGCCCGGGATAAATCCAACACCCCAGCAGCTGAGAGGCTGCTTATTCGGCTGGTAAAACTTCTTTCCACGAAGATCCCAGCGGCCGTTGGTTCCTGGATTGTGGCGTTGGTTGTCGCCAAACTGGATATCAGGGTTTGGAAGCAATCGAGCCTTGGTACGGATCATGTTCTCGTCAATTTGGAGCCCGAAAGTCTGTAGAACCGGATCCTTAGAATGATCTAGCATTCTCTTGGACTTGTGGATCGAATTGAGGCGATCAGCTGGGCGTGCGGCAGCATATTTGATCATCTGCGAGGTCTGGTACTCGTTTAGTTTCCAAGGATATTTGTGGAGACCATGGATAGTCAAGTACTCCATAGGGTAGACAATGCCTTTCTTTGTCATTTCGACCATGGGAAGATCCGGGTAAGTGAGGAGAAGGTTGTACTTCCTCTTGAAATATTGCTCAACGGTGATCCTCTCAATGACACCGGTCGCTTTGTCCTTTAAGTCGATGATGTACTTGCTAGCACTGGCATTGATGAGCCCCTTAACGGTAAAGTTCACATTCGTGCAAGGACAGCCCCGGTAATGTGCTTGGACCACGAGCTTTTTCAGCCGACGGTGCACTTCGTAAAATCCGGTCGATTCGGTCGTGCCGCCGTGACCATCTGGGACAGGTCTAAGCTCATGCATGAGATGCTGGTGGTCACGACAGTCCAAGATGGCCATAGCAGCACCCAAAAATGAAGTGCGAGCCCAGAAACAAGTATTTGACACGTCAATGTTGACAATAAGTCCACGATTCTACATAGCATTGTCAGTAAAATGAATAAGTATAACAGAGCATTGGCTTACAATAGCAGGCCTGATAGCCTCATAGACGCCTTTGAAGGCCAACACACCATTGCCCAAGTCCTTGTTCTCTCCGTTTTCGTCGAAGAAGGAACGGCGAATTGCCAAAAACCTCCCGCTGGGCCATTCACGAATGACATGGTCAAGGAAATCTTCCATCGTTAGTTCATCTCCGAAGATAATCATGGTGGTGAGAAGAGAAAGAAGAAAGCGGGCACATACTTAGAGCCTCCAAAACAGGTTCCGTGAAGGCAGCACGTCCCTGAAGCCAGGCATTCAAGACAGCGAGGTTGACCGTCTTAGTAGGTCGCACAACCAGACGGAATGCATTAGAGGTTCGACCTCCGGTGCGGCCTTGCTCGGCGTCAAGGTCCACAATGATATTCAGCCCGTTTGAGTAATTATTCATCGACCTGGGTAGGTAAGTAACGGATCTTTTTATGAATTGTGCGCTGTAGGACATACCAGGCAAGCTTGCGGCCATCATAAATGATCTGCTTCAAAGCAGCTTTTCGCGCATTCGAGTTCCAGACCTTCTTGCAGACGATGTTCTTCTCATCACCGTTCCCGATGTTGACCTATATCCTGAGTTAGTCCACGTCTTCTTATGGGACCCTGGATGGACCCATTGACTGAGTCAAACAAGACATCATGGCTGCCGGAGACACTCACATCGTATTGGTAAACGTTACTACTAGGGAACTTGGTGATCGGATATGCGTTCAGAGAAATGTCCACTTCTTTGCCCGTGTTGTTGAAGCCCGGACGAGGCACAGTTTCGACTGGGACAGAATACTTGACGACTTCGTCAGCTTCACGAACTCGGAGGTGGCGGAGACCGCCGGTAAGTTTATTGACGACTTCGAATTCCTCCATGGTGGAAGAGAAAGTAAACGTATCGCTGGTATGAGACCAGGAGAGCGGCAGTATAAAAGAAACAAAACAGGGCAGCAAGTCTATACAGATATGGGAAAGCAGAGAAAGAAGGAGAGTAAGTTCCATAGAGAGGAAGAGAGGGATTTTTATATAGGGAGAACGCCATCCTGTGAAGCGTTTACACTTGATTCGGGTAATAGAAAATAACGCAATGAATGTCGGCTTCCCACCTCGATGGACAGCCTTCGACCTGTGAATCCCCGTAATTCCATGCATATGCCGTTTGAGTAAATGGGAATGTACATGGGCCCGGGAAGATATTCGCGCAGTGAAGGGAGGAGAGAACAAGAAAAAGACCAAAGACGAACAAACAAAAGGGAGTTTATGTGGCAAGAATAAAAAAGAATAAAGAATAAAGCGTTCAAGGAAATAGGAATAAGAATAAAAGGCCGGGGTGTCCAAGGGAATGTGGAAAAATTCCAACTTACCAAATGGTTGATCGCAAACGCCCCCAAAGGCAGATCAACATTTCGACACATATCCGTCCTTAGCCTTGGCTTGTCCAAAGCTGGATCACTGAGAGGTATTGTAGCCATTTTTCGATTGACTGTCCAGTTTTAATTGTGGGCAGTTGTGGTAAGGGTAACGATGTTGAGATCTCAGAGGATATCGTCCTAGGATGTGGGGGATTCGTGGTCCAGGGTGGAAAAATGGCGAGGGTATGAGAATAGATATGGTAACTGGAGAATAGAGGAAGGGTGTTGATGGAAGGATGTTGGGGGAAAGTGGGTTGACGAAGGAAGAGATGTGGTTGAGGTATGAAAGTGTGAAAGGTGAGATGAAACAGGATGAAACACAACAAGGGCAAGTGAGGTGTGGTTGACTGGCTCAGGGTGATGATGATGATGATGATGAGAGTTGCTTGAGGCGCGTACAGGACTGAGCTTGACAGGTGGATGAAGAGATCGATGGTCAGATGAGGAAGGTCCAACAGACACCAAGGTTGAATGTCAACGGGACAAGGTGGAACAGTCCTGGGGTTGATCGTGTGAGTAGGAACGGAGGTGGCCAGAGTACAAGAGATAACAGAACTTGACAGTAATTGACCAGGCCTTTGGCTGGAAATCCCGTCATGGTCAGTGCCACACTTGCATAGCTGCTTATGGAGGTCACGATCTGGATGATATGTATGTTGCAACACGACTTTTACTCAGGCGGAGAACGTCGTCACTTCACGAATACATCAAATACCATTGTCAAAGTAGAAGAAAGATATTGCAGACTCGAGAGGTATCCTGAGAATCGCACAATTTGTGCCATGGAAAGAAACAAAATTTCCCCTTCGTCAAACCCACCCACAACTTAATAGTGACCACTTTCATATTGGAGACTAAGAGATATAAAGAAAAACTGTACAAACCCGACCTGGAACGGATGACATATCCTACCCAAAAGAAAGTCGCCGAGTGATATTTGCTTGTTGATCCCAGCTAAGGGACTTTGTGACAATTTGCCAGACCAAACTTTAACGCCGTTCGTCAAATGTAAGCAACATTGGAAAATGACTACAGATCTAAGACACGCCAGGCCGATGAGATGTGATTGAAACCGATGCGAGACACCAGGCAATGTGAACCCAAGATATTCAGATATTGCGCATTATCATCAAGCAAGAGTAGGCGCCATGCCTATATGCGTTGGTATATTACTGTGGGCGATAAGCACCTATCGGAAACGGTAAGCATTAGCCTACGACTCGGACAAAGGAAAGATGGAGTTTCCAAAATATTCCAGGGAATTGGAGACATACCAGGAAACCCAAGCCCGCGGACAGATGGTGGAAGTGGAATCTGTGAGATGGAGGTGGGCATATCAATTCTCCGGATAAGGTCGACCAACTTTTCCGGTGAAAACCGACCAGCGTTGTAGGCTGAGGCCGAGGGAATGATGCTCAACAGATAAACAATGTCACGAGGCAATGGAGCAGGTGAACCTTGTGACCGGAATTGGGACCCAGTCTGGCTACTGATAGCTTGTTGGGTACGTTTTGGCGGATCCAACTGTCGTCTCTGGGTGGTTTTCAGCGGGGAGTCGGCTCGAATAAACTTGCGTGGCCGATTCATATCGTCATCAAAGTCTTCTAACGGTCTTTTCGGTGAGTTTGTTACTGACGCATCCGGATATCTCGAAGATGGGGTGCCATGACGAGACACGGGCTGTTCCGTTGGGAATGCTGTCTTGGGCCTTGTCTGGGAGGGAGAGATGATCGGCCGCACCACTGTCGGGTCAAATGCAGGGCTAGAGTATCGATGGGCAAACTGTTCCAACGTCGGGTCTTCAGGAAACAGTTCACGCATACGATTCTCCAGATTTATGACCTGTACTAGATCTCCGTATCGAGATTCATACTCGTGAAGGAAGGCAAAGATGGGTTTGGTCTTGTGCACATTTTCGGGGTTAGATGCTAGCTTTCTTACTGTCATCTCGAAGACTGCGCGAGCGTCTAGGTAAAGAGATACATCAGCTTCCATACTAGGATGACCTACAAAATCAGGTTGGGATCGGGGAGCTTACTGATGACATCATTAATATCAATCAAGTGCTTCAAGTATTCGAGTGCAAAATTCTCATCCTCGGGAAATAGCTTAGCACCCCGTTCGAAGATCTTTGTTGCAGCCGGGTCTTTATAGCAATGATATTCAATGAGTGCGCTTGCAATATAGACATCACTTGTGATACGTCCTCTTTTGCGAGCGTCCGCAAACACTTGTCTTGAGCCAGGCATTTCGCCAGGTTTTCCCTTGCCTTGTATACGACGCATTGCGCGCATGAGAGCAATCCAAGCGAAAGAGACCGTTTTGGAAAGAATGCCGATTTGTATTGCATGTGCATTGCGCAGGGCTTCGATCTGCGCGTTCTTCATCGACTCTCTTGCCTTCGAGTCACTTTGGTCGTCATCGTCATCATCTGTCTTGGCCGGCTGAGTATCCGGGTTCATTTTCGCGAAAGTTTCCTCAAGTCGTGCGACATCCTGAGATTCTCGAGTGCGTGCTTTGGCGATCAAATCGTAAAGCGCATTAAGAAGCTTGTCATAAGGTTCTCTAACCTTGGCACCTCGCTTTATGGGATCTTGTTCGGACTCCGAAGTGATTTCCAGTCGGTCAGCACGCTTGAACGCAAGAAGACAACTCTCCGGGTTAGCTTCTATGCCGTTCTTCAAAAATTCATTCCCCTCGTTCTCCATGTCGTTTAGGAAGCAAAATTCGGCAGCTTCGAACCATATCTCTGGTAAAAACCTAAGAGCCATGAGAGCTTGCTTATACACATAAATTACACGAGCCTTGAAAGCAGCCTGGTCTTCCTCTTTTAGAACAAGTGGGTCACCTTTCTCCCATTTGATCCAGCGCTTCCAGATATCAACCTGTTGCCCGAATTCAATGTCACCATCAGAGCCTAAAACAGGGGGTAGCCTGGGTAAGGTTGTCCGGTTCAAGTCCCTTGTGATATTTTGCAGTTCTGTGTAAGAGCTGCGAGCCGTCATGTACGCGGGTGACTGCTCTTGAAGGAACTTCCGCCCCTATACATAAGCATGGCAACATTAGCGTGGGCAGGCAACTACAGGTAAGCAGGGCATCCGATTTACCGTAAGTTTGTTTAGACCCATTTCGAATTGGTCATATTCTTTCCAAAGGTTATTGACAGCTTGAGTTGGAACGCAGATAGCTTTCTGATAAGCTTTGCGCAGCAAATCCATTTTTTGCTGGTCTTGCCACCCAGAACCACCGACGTTCCCTGGACCAGAGCGTATAAACTGGACATAATCTGTCCAGATAGACCCGGAGTCCTTATCTACACCGACATACTGCAGTGCTAAATCATAGGCGGAAGAGATAATCCTTCTTGATTGACCAGTAGTATCAGTTGTCAAAGGGTTACGCCGGCGAACGTAGTCCAGATATACAGTCCAGAGCTGGACATCGGGAATAGTCAAGAGAGTCCTATTGAATATCTGCTCAAGGCGATACAACTCGTTGAGTTCAGACTCCATGGTTGCATATGCCACCCACTGTTCAGCCTAAGAGTGGGTCAGTCCTTGGCTTCTCCCAAGATGACGCATCAAATACTTACAGAGAAGGGGAACGCCGTCAAGAAGCGCTCGTATACTTCACGTGCACTGTCAATTCTATTGCGGCTTCTGTGTTCGTTAATCAACTCGAGCCATGCCGGGATGTCACCACGTGGGTCTTCTTGTATCCTGTCCTCCAAGATACCAACGCGATCGTGAGGCAACCGACCCTTAGAGGTCGACGGAGAATCAGGAGCGGGTGTAGCTGCAGCGCTATCTTGCATATTTTCAGACTGCAAAGTACGTGAGTTGTACATATCCTGGCTCAACAGCGCAGGCGTATCGCTTTTAGAAGCAGCAGCAGAAGCAGGGGTATAAGAGCTATTGGGAAAATTCTTTGCGTTGGCAGATGCCTGCACAGCACCGTCCATTGATACATCAGGGGTAGGAGTATCTTCATTTGCATTTCCTGAAATGGGTTGCTGAGGCACATTCATAGATATAGTATTCATGTCCTCGACACCTAGTACAGCTGGCGGTTCATAATCCGCATCACCCGCGTCATCCTCATCTTCGTCCTCAACCACAAAGCCCCCAATTGTCCTCGTCTTCAATGGTACAGAAGTACTCGACGCAGGTGCCGACGCTGATGCCTGGGAGTCAGCACGGGATGGTGTCTGGGAAGGGTAGGCACTGTCCGCTGGCTGGCTGGGGTCCGTTTCAGGGGGGATAGACTGTGTAGGGGGGTTTGGTTCTGAAGGGGAAGCATTTGAAGAAACGATTTCACTTGGTTTAGAATCAGGAATGGAAGCAGAATATTGATCTTGAAGTGTTTTCGAAGGATCATAATCATCTGAATCTGAACTAGCGCCCTGATCTTCAACAGCCTTATAGTCCACGGAGTCCGCATTCATTGCCTGGGCCTGGAAAAAGGCCTTCTCAGCATCATCTTCAGCCATGACAAAAGCGTTTCCTGAGTCCCAATCAAGGTGTCGTGAAAAGAAAATCTGCGAGTTCGGATCTGGTTAGCGACTGACTCTGCAGAGGGGGGACGGACGATCCGATTTTTCTGCTACCCAAGCGACGTACAAGGAATATTAAGACACCTAGGCTGTGAGAGGAGAAGCCGGAAGGCGCCTAATCACTCTTGGGAGGTATCCGCCTCAAACAGAATCCGGGGTAAAATAAGATTTAGTAAGTCAATGGAATGCTAGTAATAGATGATGCCGTCTCACGAGCTGTGGCTGAAGCTGCAGCTGTCACGCAGGATAGTCTCACGTGATGAAGGCGGTGGGCGCGAGAATGCGCCCAACAGACGCGGCGCGTCGTCGATCCTTCTTTAGGGTCGAATTGGTTTAATTAGTACTTGCTCGCTGCGTCCCTCCCCTCGATTGAAGTCTCTAGTTTCTCCATCCTCCCTCCCTCCTTCTTCCTCGTTCGACTTCGACGTTGTTTCCTAAGTGTCTTCTACTGTCTTATTGTTCACCTCCCCTATTCTTCGCAAAATATCCATCCAACCTTCTTCGCAACCACCCTACAATTAAAGCCAGCCGTTTACCGCCATGTCCGTTGTTTCTCTCCTTGGGGTTAAGATCCAAAACAACCCCGCCCCTTTCCTCGCTCCCTATCAATTCGAAATCACTTTTGAATGTCTTGAGCAGCTGCAAAAAGGTATTGCATGGGCCATCGCCCCTCCGCAGCAACACTTGGCTAACTAGGTGCTAGACTTGGAATGGAAACTCACCTACGTCGGTTCGGCGACATCGTAAGCGAGGCTCGGAACGGCACTACCGATAGACATCGTGTCGCTAACTGACTCGAATAGATCTGAATATGATCAAGAACTTGACTCTCTTTTCGTCGGTCCCATTCCCGTTGGCGTCAACAAGTTCATTTTCGAAGCCGAAGCACCGGACCTTAAGCGGATTCCCACGTCCGAAATCCTTGGCGTCACCGTTATTCTTCTCACCTGTAGCTACGATGGTAGAGAATTCGTCCGTGTTGGTTACTACGTGAACAATGAGTACGACTCGGAGGATCTCAGCGCAGAGCCTCCCGCAAAGCCAATCATCGAGAGGATCCGTCGAAACATCCTTGCGGAGAAGCCAAGAGTGACTAGATTCGCAATCAAATGGTACAGTACTTGATGATCGTGATACGTTTATTGCTTGTGGCTAACAATCACTTCTTTCAACAGGGACTCGGAAGAATCTGCACCAGCCGAATATCCCCCGGATCAACCAGAAGCTGATATCCTGGAAGATGACAGTGCTGCTTACGGTGCTGAAGAGGCGGAACTTGAAGCCGCCCTAGTAAGAGAACTTGCGGATGCAGAGAGTGATGTGAAGGGTGAAGATCATGAGATGGAGGGCGCCGAGCCCGCCATCAAGGAGGAAGAAGAAGAAGATATTTCCGACGCTGAGAGTGAAGATATTGAAGATGAAAGCGACGATGATGAGGAGGATCTCGACGAAGAAGAGGCTGGTGATGGCGATGAGGACGTCGAGATGGGTGACGACTCCGAACAGAAAGATGATGGGCCCAAGGCTGATTCTACAAATCAGCATTCTCACCAGCCAGAGGTTATGGTTCACTAGGTTGAACATCTCTTGAAATACGCATTGAGACCATCCCTCTCACTTCTTGACCATTATTTTAACTATTTGTTTTGCATGATTTAATGATTCAGTTGCAACGTTATGATGACAACCCTACCAGCCCTACTATCGTTTTACAAAATCACTGCATCTAGTTTATGACATAGAACCAACATAATTTAACGAATGAATAGTTGCTAGGCTTCGAAACTATCTTCACTTTTCCGCTCATAACTATGAACGTAAGAGGGTATGTAGCCGGGGTAACAGGATCACTACCCACTTACCAACTAGACTCCCGGCATTGTTGCTGGTCCATCCCTAGCAGGTAAATGCAAGGCGGATGGGGGTCCCAGAATCAGGATCTATCGTCTCCATGGAGACGGTGAGAACCTGATCAGCATTAGCTGTTCTATTCATCGCTGATCGCTACTGCCATTTCCCACTTTAGTTGGGGCCGTAGATGACCCTCCAACGCTCACTTAGCAGTGCACGAATCCTTAATATCCGGCTTCTTGGACACCGCTAGTTGCGAACATGCTATCGTCCACGTGAACCTTTGGATAAAGTTGCATTAAGATATCCCCGTAACGCATAGGACGACTCAACTTTCTAGGAATTAGATCTTGATAATGCACACAGGGGTGAGCTCTACCCAACGGAGTCTGTACTTTTCCCTTGCAATCTAAGCATAGATAAAGCAGACAGGCATATTAGCCACACAAAGCGAAATCCCTCAAATGCTTGTTGTGCCTTATATGTATATCCCCGCGAGATCATGTGATCTGGTATAACCCTTACATGTGCTCCTGTGAGTTGGGGAAAATTCATGCGCCCCCCAACCAAGGAGTTCTGAAAGTTGGACATGAAATGATAGGTGTATAATGGTTCGCATAATCTGTAGTCGAGCATATTGAGTTTATCAGTCTCAGAGCATCTTGAGGTGTATCACTGGAGTGATATGCACCTATGGAAGTGAGTACAGTATATCTAAATACTAATAAACGATAACCAGCTGTGCAACCTCTGGCGTAATCTACATTTAAAAAATATATGAGAGTAGTTCTAGGCATGGCTTAGGTACATGGATATATAACCAAATTGTTTCGATACATCTGTTTCACTAAAGCCGTGCATAAAGACGAGAGATAGGTATCTCAACTTTTCCATATGAGAAGAACGGCGTTGGCATGGCATGTTCGAGAGCTTAGGGTTAATATAGAAGAGGAAATATGTCACCGCTTTACATTTGAAATGTATATTGGAGGGAAGCTCTACAAACAGTATCTAGTAACGTACAAAGCTACGCTACTGGCCTCGATAGAAGGGCGTTCTTTCCTTCTCTCCTTCCTCTTTCTTTACCTTCCAGACATTTTACTTTCTCTTGACTAAATCAATTTCATTCACCTTTATGGCTCGTTTCCTTCAACAAGTACTCTGTGTGGCAGCGGAAGAGCTAGTAGCTACCTCTAAGTCATTGAATCCCAACTATTCTTAGTGGAAGTACATGCCCTAGTCTTTATTATTCCTTCCTACCTCACCTGCTTTTCTAGATAGCCTGAGGTGAAGTAGCACAAAATAGACAAAGGGAGGCTTTGTCGCATGTTTTAACTCAAATAAAGGAAGAAAGGGTATTCATCGGCTGTCATGGAAAGTTAAGCACAGTGCACAGAGATTCAAATAGCGTGTGAATTACTCTTTATATTGGTAGTCCTCGGAGCCTATTAATATTCCTCTGCATGATTTTGAGTTCCTCACAGTGAATACTGCATCAGATTAGGCCTTCATTAACTATAGAAGAAGCAACAGCAGAGGATATATTATCCTCAGTTAAGTGACTTTGTGCTGAAAGGAGACTTTCATTAAAAGAGATAGGACGTATCCCTATGTACACCTAGTCAGCGCTCTTTACTCAGACATATCACTGGGGTCAGTAGAAATAACCCTCTCTAGCGAGAATAAACTATGTAATTTGGTGCACATATATAACAGAAATAGATTGGGCTCGTTTTAGACCTCCTGAAGATCGTGCTGTTTGTGTTAACAAAGTAATACACTATATATTTCCATAAATATATACTAACCGTCGAGGATATAGCTCAACAAGTTGATCAAACAGGTAGCATTTAAGCAATCATACCGATGACAGAGCTTCTTGTTCCCTAGTGAAAGGCTATACAACTTGTGTCAGTCAGAGAACAGAGCTTACTTACAGTGTCTATAACGGGCTTATGAATGCAACTTTGAAAGACAAAAGAAAGAAACAGGGAGTCTGGAGAGATACTATCATCGTAATAATAATGAGTACAACTGCAAGTTTCAGTGATCCTAGGATCCTCTTCTTTAACAGTGACGGTGATGTAAAAGGCGACATTGTTTACTTTACACATATCCATGACTTAATCGATGTCGGTGATATCAAAGAAGTTACTGGCGCCAAAGAGACTCCCCTGAAGCAGGGTTGGCTTGTTGTCTATCAGGAAACGAATGACTTGATCGTTTCAGAAGGCCTAAAGAACTAAAAACAGAAGGATTATCTATACTTCCGCACGCAGTGTCTGAAAATAGAAAATATAGAGATAATTCAGAGAACGAAGGGGAGAATGATATAACACCAACGCCAATGCCTAGTAGGGGATGTAACTGGCTATACTGCATAGACACGATCTAAGACAATCAAATAGCATATTTGTTCTCATTTATAAAGAGTTGCCTACCAGTCTCAAGCATTTCAGAGTCCAAACTTTGACCCTAATACTGTTGTTCTGATTAGCGAGGTGGAAATCAGAAAAAGTAATCAACATGAACTTACCACCCAGCACCGCCTTCTTCTTCTGATTCTGAACGTACTTGTTGACATCTCGGGCCCAGTTACTGCTATTTTCTTCCAGTCGTTCCATCTGGTCACCGGCGACATTCAATTTTTCGGTGCGCTCCTGCACCTGGCGCTGCATATACGACCAATATCCTTCTTGGCTGCCTTGTTCCTGGGACAGATTGGACATGGTTCGTCCCTCCCTAGCAAGTCTTCGGCGCTCTTGATCTTCAAGCTTCATCTGCTCTTGCATCTTCTTCGAAGGTGGGCGATCAGGGCCTCCAACTATACGAGCACCATCGTCAGTAAACTCATCTTAAACGACCACTGTAGGGGACTAGAGAAGCGGGAGCGGGTATACGAACTGAGAATGTCCATGTCAGCAGGAGAGATATATTGGGTGCCGGAGATCCATTGCATGTTGGTAATCGTAGGGCGTGGAGGGATAGCTGCCTGTACGTTATAGAGCTGGTCTTCGGAATGTCGCCTGCAGTTTTTATTAGCGAATTATCTATCTCAGACCAGTATGTTGAGAAGGTGCACGTACAGCCCAGTTCCAGCTCCCCAAACATTGAACAATCCGACTTCGGATGGCCCTGTCCAGGTAAGAACTGTTCCATTAAAGCAAATGGTGGACTCCGAGAGGCGTTTCATATCAGCCATGTAATTTATTTCCTTGTGGCCCATCTCTTTGAGGCCTGGGATGGAGAAAGCCCGCACGTTGCCATCACCAAAAAGCCCAACAAGACTGTAACCTCGACCCTCGACTTTGACCACTGCAGCAGAGTCGCACAGATAATCTTCCCACGATTTATGTGCGCCCTTAGAAGTTGCAGGCTTGAAAATCCTGCAGCCAGAAACGGTTACAGCAATGACAACGCCGTGAATCCGAATTCCATTTCTTAAACCTCCAACAGCGTTCGGAGTAGCTAAGGCAAGCTCACCACTCTCGGCATCAATAGGAATGATGCTTATGACCTTATCATCCAATAAAGTTGCTCCAGCAAACGCAGCCATATAACCCCCATTATCCGTTGGAAGGATCTTAAAGGTTGCAAGATTTCCCCGATTGGTGCCTACAAAGCAGCAAATGCTCGAATAATCTGCCCAAAAAAAATTGTATCAGCATAATTCGGTATATCTCAAGACCTCGCCGCCTCTTATTACCTTCTCCCTCCAAAGTCAATACACCAAATTCAATGCTCGTTGGCCATTCTGGTGGGGCGTCATCAGATGAGCGGTGTCTCAAGAAACTACTCCGCTTGTTAGGTTTTGTTAGCTCGGACAATCGCGCTGTATGAATCACTGTTGGTCCGCGCAAGTCGATGATCGCCAGACTTCCACCTTCGAAGCCGGCAGCAACAAAACCAACTTGGCTATGTTTCAGGGCAGTGACGGATCCTTGTTGCATATCCAAAAGGGTAAGGGGAAGAAGTCCCTGCTTCAACCCAGGATCAGTCCTGTGAGCGATCTTAGTCAACTTCCCCGATCCTTCGTTAGCGCCGGCGGGCTCTTCATGGCCAAAATTTCCATTGCTGCCCCAACGGAATATCACGACCTCACCACTCCTGAGGCCAACCGACAGCTCACCTGTTGACCCGCTTAGAGCCATTTCAGTAACTTCAACATTACTGACGCGGCCGACGGCACGGGCCAAATCCACCTGGATGACATCACCATTCTCGACCTCATCATCATGGCCTACATCCCAGAGACGAATGGTGCCATCGGCATGGGCGGTTGTGATCACGTTACGATCTTCGAAGCGTTTGAGGACCTTCTTCCCCTCCGCACCACCTAGTAGAAATTTTGGGCCTTGCGACCTACGTTCCCTAAGGCCAAGCCAAGCTGAACGATCGACTGGCGTAAGAGTCATCTTGTTTACGAAGGGGTGGACAAACGAAAGAGAAGGGTGGATCATATTGGTGGGGGTAATCGGATGGCCGCTTGGAAAGCTCAAAGTTATCAACTCTCCCGAAGAAAGCACGGCGATCAAGGCAATTGGATCATGTCCACCAGCATAAAAGGGCGAGGCGCGGGGAATAAGGCAGAAATCAACGACTTCTGCGCCTGGAGGCGTTGGAAGATTTGATATTTGTTTTGGAGACTCGAAATAGTTCGAAATGATGGCCCAAGACGATGTTTGATAGTTTGGAGTTGACCCCAGGTCGATGAAAGTAAGTCCTTTGTTGGCCTCAGCTTTCGGCTTACCACCAGCTATTAAAAGTCCACTATCATCCCCGTTTCCCTTAACACACCACGCAATATGAGTGATGGGGTCCCTGAGCCCAACAGCGCTCCCTGATGAAAGTGGTCTCTCAGGGCTAGCACCTGGCTGGTCAATATTGGGGGTTGTGATTGACCTAGCCGCTATCTTGCGACCATCCTTAGAGTCCCAAAGTACCAAGCTATTGTCATCATGCACTGTCAATACGAAGATCCCGTTAGGATGCCAGATGGCCCTGGTCAGTCTTGGCCTGCGCGGCTCCTGGGATGGGACATCGCAATTCCCACCCAATGCACCTGGGGGAACTTCATACTCGAAGTACTTCTGTGCTAAGTTCTGCTTAAATGAGAATGTCACAGCTCCTTCGGGATACCCCACTAGGATCTTTCCAATATCGCGAGGTGAAAAAGAGAGTGCGAGGACAGGGCAAAAGCGTGCTCGCGGATTACGCTGGGCCCAGAGATTGGGAACTTTGAAAGGCGTTAGAGATTCACGGTCGAGATCGTATGCAATGATATCGCCTACGGAAATCAGTTAGCATATCATCAGTAACCGTTGCGGAAGCATTGCCCAGAGACCATTCTGCAGGCCAATGAAGGCATAATCGAGGCTGGGATCCGTCAACAATGCGCTGACATGGTTAGGAGGGGCATAAGAGAAGAGCGTATGTCGTGTCTCGAGGGAGAAAACACAAATTTCACTTTTCGAATCAACGCTGACAAGCTTGTCGGCACAGAATTGGAGGAACTTGGCCGACGCCTTCCGGGGCAGTGAAAAGACAACGGATACCCGACGCTGGCCGAAAACATAGATCTGACCGCTGCCAAACTGAGTATCACTGGTGCCAACGGCAACGAGAGATTGAACGGGATCGTAGGCGATAGCGCTGATCTGAGAATTTATGCCATATCGAGCGAACTACAGACAGTGAGCAACCAGAAAAATGTTGCCTTGGGTGCCAAGACATACATCATCAAGAGCGAACAAGTCCGGCGATAAGCCGTCGGACAGGTCCTTTTGGATGCCAGCTTGCTTTCCTCTCAGGAAATGCGCCATTTCCTGCAAATATGAAGCTCTACCGAGAGGTAAGAAGAGTGTAGAGGGGAGGAAAGAGAAAGAAGAGCTGTGTTTCGCGGTGTTGAAGGGGTGCGGAGCGGAGACCCCACATATGAGCTTTGAAGCGTCATGCCGCGGAATCTGTTGCAGAGCAGCCGATCAGCCCCGCCCTTTAATTGGGTTTCTTTTCTGCCCTACATAAATTACGACCTCCCTCTTGAAATCAATGTATATATACATACATACCAAGCGACAAAAAGAAGAATACTAGAAGAGGCAAAAGTTAGAACAAAAAGTAAACGAACAAATAGAAAAGTAAAAAGGCGGGGCATATCGGATTGACTATCTGAAGCCTTCTTACTCATAATTTGTGAACGGGGTACAGATCGTAAATTTGTCATTTATATGAGCAGGAGGTAATCTATCATGTAAATCGCAGAGCAAACCTGTACTGCGCCCAAGGTCGAGCCAAGAATTTGTACGACATAGTGATTGCCAGATCTGCTAGGCAGCAACAATCGACTGAGCACCAAAGGGAGTACTTCTCATTGAGACGGTATTGTCGTACTCCAGGCTAGTACTCACGCCCAGAGTAGCTTTATTAGGTCTATGCTCCCATTCCGGTTACCTCTCCTCAGGTAGTTCCGAGTCCCGTTGGAAATCCACAGCTTGTATCAAAGACACCTAAACGCCGGTATTGTGCAACCCCCTGAAATGAGTCCCTCGTTGTAGGTCTGAGAACCGGGTTTATCCCTCAGGTAGCGGCCATCTTGTTCAATATCGTCGTCAACCGCCTCCTCGCATCATTTTCCGCAATCATATCTCGGTTCCGATAGTATTGCACAGTGACTCTTTCAACAGACCGATAGCAAGCATATCTGTTAATGGCGGTCACAGAAGAAAAGTCAGCATTAAATATGCCAAATTCTTTGCAGGACGAAAGCACATACAAAAGCTGCCGTATCCTTTCCATCTCGCTTCCTACCATCCGCGATCGTCCAAAGCCGTCCAGCATGGAAGACGATGGCTCTTCGAACATTTCAGCCATGTAGATGTCACCCCATAGTGTTTTGCCCAAGTCCACAACACCAGATAATTGTTTGGATTCTGGATCCACTAGTACTTGCGTAGGGTGGCCAAAGTCAATTACTACTAACTGTGGTGAAGTAATTTCTTCAAGTGCTGGTGATAACCGACTAAGCTGGTGCCTTATCTCGGCATACGGAAGGTTGACGAAGACGTCCTCCGAGTCACGGAGAATGCTTTCAAAGAGGATAACAAAGGCCTCTCGCCACGATTGTCTTCCAGCGCCGCTGGCCACCTGTTCCAGAGTCCCAAAGGAGTCAGACACATGTTGCCCAATCTTTTGGGCTAAGACTCCCAATCGCCGGTCAATATCTTTCCGATTCTGGGGAGTAAGCCAGGGCTCCATTTCATGTAGTGTAGCTCCGATCACATAATGCCGCATAAAAAAGGCGGAATCGCGCAAATTACCTCGAGAGTTGTAATGGAAGATTTGTGGGATGCCAGGAATTCCGCTCTGTTTGAGTAAAGCGAGTGCACGGGCTTCTGTGTCAATCATGAATTGCTCTCGCCGTAGCAACGGTGTCATCGGCGCCGGCGAACACTTCAAAAGTACATGGGCTCCATTGGATAGTAAGATAACGCAAAGTGGATGGAGATGGCCGTCAAGGGGAGAAATATTGCTAACATGGACAGTAGAAGTGAAGATCCGCTGAATAATTGTACACAGTTTCTCAGATACTTCGAAACTGTGAGAGTAATGGTCACTAAAGGAAGGAGACATGGTTTATTGTTCTAGCTTGAAGGATAGGCTGTCGGCAATGATCGATAATAGTTTGCTCATTATGAAATGTCATATGAAAACCAGAAGAAAGAAGAAACCAATATATGATGGAACATGGAGGGTTAACAAAAAACATGGTTCAGACATAAATCGTGGAATACCACCCTACAGCGCAACGAAGCGAAGACTAAGATGGTATCAGAAGTGTTAAATTGGATCGTCTAAACGAGGATCCACATCATGGACTCCAGCTTCGTTCGTCTATGTATTCTGCACTTCGGTATGAGACGCTATGGTCTCAATTTACCAGACCATTCCACCACCGGCACATCACCCACTGGCTGTCTCCCATGATCACTAAAGCAAACCACAAAATTAGGTTCAATGACATTGTAGTAGAGTCGCGAGTCAAGCGAACGTGGCCCCCTGACTGATTAGACGGAGGAATGAGCCGACTGGATTGCGCGGAGATATGCGGGCACTGATGAGGTCAATAGAGTGAGTGACATTAAGAACTGGGGCTTTCGCCTAAGGCTCCCGCTCTTAGAAAGGTGCGATGCAGTCGAACCAATCAGAGGTCCGCCTTGCCGAAGACAACAAAGCATCCCGTCCTCAGGATTTTTGATTCCCTGTACGGAGTACTCCGTAGTGGTCTCGTCTTAGTACTTGTGCGCCTTGAAAATACATCTGTGTACTTGCAGTTCCACAAATTAATTTCCCAAAACATCACTTACGTATCATATCAATACCTGTTTTGTTTTGGTTTTTCAGAGTCTTAGCTCCCTGAATCAGTCAACATTACGCGATATATACAAAATTCCTTTTACCGAGTATACCGCCAATTGGACCATTCTAATGAGAAACTAACAGTACTCCTAACTGAAACAGGCTTGAAACATCTGATGGATAGATTATAGGAAAACCATCAAGATCTGTAGTCGTTACGCCCAGTTACAAATCGCGTCATGACGAGGAAGTACGAACGAGCTCCTAGTGTTAGGGATGAAAAGAGTAACAGCTATTAGTACTAGGTCCGGTTGATCTATCGCCCTTTTTGGCGAGACAAACACGTGTGCATGCACGTGTAAAGAGCCTTCAAATGGTCAAACAATGGGACCATTCGCCTAAGGTTTGGAGATTTGGAATCGAAAGTATTCGAGTTGTTCCAACATGCTTCTAAGCGGGCCTCTCCATCCAAGACGACTAGAACCGATAAATCACATGGACTTCTCGAGTGTAACTGCTATTCTGGGCAAAGGAGAAGAAATGGAACGAAAAAAAGGCCCTTCCGTCGTGCAATCACTTTTCTCAAACTGTAGGGCATCTCTGTTGGTGGCGGATATGTGGGTCTCTTGAGGTACCATGTAGTGGGTAAAGTTTATCTTTCGCTTACAACAATGTGTATGGACATACTGGATAGAACACCAGCTTGTTTCCAGGGTAAACTACGGAGTAACAGGAACATACTAATACGGGCACAACATTACTAGGTACTAGGTACCTAGTAGTATTGTCCAACTTTGCCCAAAGTGGACTAGTATGTACTATGTAAGTCGCTTTTATGGTGCCTTCCTATTCTGTCTAAGCTGCACTAATCAGATCTTACATTATAGCGCCTACCGCAACGCCTTCCATACTAACCTCAGCCACATTCTATCTGAACCTCCGCCTTCTTACTCAAAGAGCTCTTGGTTATTGTTCCGAACTTTTGAGTGGTAGGTATTTTGATGTCAATCCTACACTTCTAGTATTCAATAAGTATCCAACACGCATTCTCCGAGCAAAAACATTTAATAACGTATCTCTACTAGTAACTAGGTCCCACAATTTCACCTACTGGACAACGCCATCCGAGAATTTTTCTTTAAAGAAGGTTAGCTGTAGTATATCATTTTAAGACCCAATATTGACAGTTCTGTTATCAAATTACTACCATGGTTCTGGAAATATCTCTGCTGGTGTGGTCCTCGATAAGCGTACCCCGGAGTAGCATAGTCCTCATTAAAGTTCAAGAAGTGGTCTTCCAACATTTTGTTCTCCTTCCAAATACGAGGGAAATGACAAATCCCCGATCGATATTAACAAGTGCTTACTACCAGTCCTAGTAGGTACTCACCGGGTCATGGTATATGCTCTTTTCTGCGAAGCACCAAGGAGCTTATGAGCTATTCAAGTATCTGGCAGACTTGGCCGTTACTTTCTTATAGAACTTACCTTCCCTTCCTAACAAAATTTTCTCTTTCTTTTTCTTTTCTCTCTCTCTCTCTCTTTTTTTTTTTTAAAAAAAAAAGAAAAGAAAAAAAAAAAAATACTGTAATGATGCATTGTGTAATATTTCTTAAGTATCCAAGGTTGACATTCACTATTTCCACCGCTCAAGCCAAAATGTCTCATATTCTACGAAAATCGATTCAAACCGGATTCAATCAGTTGACCGTTTGGGCTCGATTTCCTGTGAGCTCGGTGCTGGCTTGTAGAGCTCAGCTAGACTGTATCTTTTCAGCTTGTCGTAGTCACTTCCGGCAACACTCATCCCAATCACGTTCTGGATACAGAGGTCAGCCACGCGGAAAATAAATTTTAAAGAGCATGAGAACAGTGTTGGTTGTTGTGAAACAGACCTTGATAATATCAACAAGGATAATGAGATCGTAATTTTTGAGATCAACAGAATGCTCAGGTCCCACAACACTGGCTACTGTTTTGATGAGACTGTCTCTGTCGAACTTTTGGTTGCTCCTTATCGCAGGTCGGATAGCGAACTGTATTTGTAGACCTTAAGGTCAAATCTGGAAGTATAAAGCTCAGGGTACCGTGACATACCTTTCTGGGACCCCCACCGGAGTGAAAGTGAGGCTTTAAAATCTCACGCGCAAAAGCCTCTAAATCAACACTGAGAGTCTTTCGGATAGATTTGACAGGCGTCATTCGTTGGATGTATCGACTTCTCTTCCTGTGCGGGTTGGCATGCGCATCCACGCAAATCTGATGGACTAGTTTCTCGGGATCAATCGACTTATCGAATCGTATGAACAATACTAAGTAAAGGTTTAGTCCTAGTCGTGTTATCTTTGGCTAACGTTAAAAGCATCCACGAACCACACGGAATGTCCAGCCTGATGGCCTGAAACTGACGAGGCTTGGCCGAGCTAGGCTTCAGCCCTTCGACTTCCTTTCTGATTTGGGCTTCGATATCATCTTCGTCCTCCGAGCCGGAGTCACCATCTTGACCCCCAGCGTCTGGCGTTTCGATGCTCTGGTGCACATGGCATATGTCAGCTGCACAATTGAAGAGTCCGGAATACTGCCACAGAGCACAACATGTTTCTGGTCATAGTTTCTCCCATAGAACGGTACTAACCTGGGAGAAGAGATCAAGCACCTCCGAGATACATTTACCTTCCTTTCCCATGTCGCAGGTTACAATAACTCCCCAGTCCCCACTTTCAATGCCAGCTTTACCATTTTGCTGCTTATGCCAATTACCGCCTCCCTGTAACGCATATTAGATCTCCTGACTACTGGAGCAATACAATGGAACGAAGAAGAAAAAATTTAGCATGATCATTGGGTCCAGCTCGCCGAGAGTCAAAGCAAAAGTAGGCCAACCTTTCTTTTTTTGGAGGATTGAGATGAGTTGTCCGGCATGCTCCTTTTTCCTGTTCCCGCCATTCACGGATGTAGTCCGAGTCAAATTTAGGTAGCGGTGCCGTATTTTCGTCGCAGGGATTATTTCTAAAAAAAGTTAAGGTTGCTGTATGTTTGCACGGGTTTGGTCAGATAAACATATCAATATGCTAGTATCTGATGCCGTTTCGCCGCTGTGTGGTCTTCCCTGAAAATTCTCGATTATCATTGGCATTGCGGCAACGCCGCGGGGTGTCGAGACGTCCACATACGGTTTAGTGGAAGAGTATCATCCCATCCGTATCGGGTGGGGTGGGCTGACTGTCACGCCAGCGACTCGGAGCCTCGGGTTCGTCGGCATGGAGTACCAGGGATATACCTTCTAAACAGTGATCAGGTAGATCCCGATAATAGACTATCTTCCAACCATCGGGCCATTCTCCGTTGTGTTGGGTCGCAAGTGTTCTTCACCGTGAACTGCCATAGGCATAGCCCAGACACTTGGTATTTCTTTTACAACTGTTCTTAACTACATGGCGACCTTAACTATGACAGCCGGTGGCTGACTGTATTGTAAGCTTGTAATTTTTGTGTACTATCTTTTGTCCGACACTCGGCCTGGAACTATGACATCACGTTATCATGACGTATGGCCTGGTCGTTTTGTTGCACGTCGAGTTGTACAGGGCATTCTGTATTCAGTACTATATAACTGCACCCCCTGGTCCATGTTTCCCAGGAAGAATTTAATACCCAACAATCCATAGCAAAAACCTTTTCATCTTCTATACCTTCCATTCCCTCTTACTGAGTTCTTACAATGGCGACAGATATCGCTACAAGAGATCTTCGCAAGCCCATAGATGTTGCCGAATACCTCTTTAGACGACTCCGTGAGGTTGGCGTTCGTGCAGTACACGGTGTTCCTGGTAAGTGTCAACGCGCCAGCTTTTAACGCAGTTACTGACAGTATCAATCCTCACAGGGGATTACAACCTGGTGGCTTTGGATTACCTGCCAAGATGCGATCTTCATTGGGTAGGAAACTGTAATGAGCTTAATGCTGGTATGTCTCCACAAAATGGGAATTATGGGCATGGTAGAGGAGTGGCGCATATCGCTAACCGTGGTCAAATGCAGGATACGCTGCTGATGGATACGCTCGAATCAATGGAATGGCTGCTCTAGTCACCACCTTCGGTGTGGGTGAGCTGTCGGCGCTGAATGCTATTGCTGGTGCATACTCTGAATTTGTCCCTATTGTTCACATTGTTGGTCAACCGCATACGAAATCACAGAAGGATGGGATGCTCCTCCACCATACCTTGGGCAACGGCGACTTCAACGTCTTCACCAGAATGAGTGCCGACATCTCTTGTACTCTTGGATGTTTGAACCAAACTCATGAAGTGGCAACGCTCATTGATAATGCTATCCGAGAATGTTGGATTCGCAGTCGACCGGTTTATATCTCTCTCCCTACTGATATGGTGACAAAGAAGATCGAGGGAGAACGGCTGGATACCCCTCTCGATCTCAGTCTGCCTCCGAACGATCCCGAAAAGGAAGATTACGTTGTGGAGGTGGTTCTGAAGTATTTGCACGCTGCGAAGAAACCCGTTATTCTTGTCGACGCTTGTGCTATTCGCCATCGTGTGCTTGACGAAGTTCATGAGTTCGTGGAAAAATCTGGGTTGCCCACCTTCGTGGCTCCAATGGGTAAAGGAGCAGTGGATGAGACTCACAAGAACTACGGCGGTGTTTACGCTGGTACTGGATCAAACCCCGGTGTTCGTGAGCAAGTTGAATCTTCAGACTTGATTCTGAGCATCGGTTCTATCAAATCAGATTTCAATACAACTGGATTCTCCTACCGTATTGGCCAACTTAACACCATTGACTTCCACAGTACATACGTGCGCGTCCGGTACTCCGAATACCCTGATATTAACATGAAAGGCGTTCTTCAGAAGATTGTTCAAAGAATGGGCAATCTCAATGTCGGACCAGTCTCGCCGCCGTCGAACCTACTGCCGGACAATGAGAAGGCATCAACTGAACAGTCGATTACCCATGCGTGGCTCTGGCCTACTGTCGGGCAATGGCTGAAAGAAAGGGATGTTGTTATCACGGAAACTGGCACTGCCAACTTCGGTATCTGGGACACTCGGTTCCCGGCAGGTGTTACAGCCATTAGTCAGGTTCTTTGGGGCAGTATCGGTTATTCAGTCGGAGCTTGCCAAGGAGCTGCGTTGGCCGCGAAAGAGCAAGGCCGACGAACCGTGCTTTTCGTGGGTGACGGAAGTTTCCAGCTGACGCTCCAGGAAGTCAGCACCATGATCAGAAATAAACTCAACCCTATCATGTAAGTCTCGCTTTTGAGTGACACATGTCTCATGCTCGGCTAACATCGTACGTAGCTTTGTCATTTGCAACGAAGGATATACCATTGAACGGTATATTCATGGATGGGATGCTGTTTACAATGACATCCAGCCCTGGGACTTCTTGAACATTCCTGTGGCATTCGGCGCGAAGGACAAGTATAGAGGATACAAGGTCACAACCCGGGACGAGTTGAGAAAGCTTTTCGCAAATGAAGAATTTGCTTCGGCACCCTGTCTACAGGTAGGTTACAGCCCGTTTGCCCCTTTCGGAAAATTATCAATGATACTAACCATAGTAGTTGGTTGAGCTCCACATGCCTCGCGACGATTGCCCAGCCGGTTTGAAATTGACAGCCGAATCGGCCGCTGAGCGGAACAAGTCCCTTTAATTTCTTCAAGGCATACTCTAGAATAAACCAAATCTCTTTCCTTCTTTGCAGTTCAGGAAATCGGTTTCAGTTAGCATGCCACCATGTACACGGGGCATCTCTAATATCATCATGACATGTGGTTAAGGGATTTGGTTCACTACGATAGTTTTAATGAGATCTTTATCTGCTTCTCCTCTCCTTTCTTTCTTTTTGATAACTTTCTCAGTTAACATTTTGATCAGATTTTATTAAATAACAATTGAATTAAACCTTCCTTTAGAAAGAGAGAAAGATGAAAAGAACCAGAGTCTCGGGTGTACGGAGGTGGTTGAACAAGCTTTGTTCAAGTGCTGCTCAGGGAAGGAAGTGTGGCTAGCTGGACTAAGGGACCGCTGTAGGGCTGAAAGGAACGTTCAACAGTTAAAAGTGGAGAAAAGGAGTAGTTCTGGTGAGGTGTTCTCATGCGCTATAGACCCTAAACATCACTAGTTTGTCTCTAAACGAGATTTACTGAACAATATGTCTCAATCTCTTGCCTATCACATCCTCCAATGACTTGAGACAAGCTTATAGTGTGAAATTCTTCCGCGGGAAAATTGAGGAACAGTAACCAAAGCTGTTTCAGAAAAGGCGGCATTTATGGATGACTGGATTCTGGAATTGAAGGGGGAAATCAAAAGCAGGTCAAAGCAAAAGAATAAGGATCAAATTTTTACAAAATCAAGTAAGCAGAATGAATTATTGAGAACAAAAGCGAGAGAAACAAAACGGGGTGCTTATCTGCCACGTGATTTGGCGTCAGAAGCTCTGGCGTTTCTCTCATTAATTAAACTCTCACCCGTTAAAACATTCGGCCGGGCCTCGATTGATTGATGACCCCGACCGTGATTGTGAGAGCGCATTTCGACCCAAGCTGAGAAGCTCCGGTAATAAGTCTTCGTGGCGCCAAGATTTGACCAGCTGTCATCGATCCAGTCGGGAAACGAACTATCGCTCTTCTCCCAACAATTTAATATTAAGTGGCTGTGGTATGTTTTATCTCTCCCCCGTCGGCCATTCCGATTTACCCCCCTCCCCCTGCGATGAGACTAGCATGCCTACTACGATCAGGGGTTGATCAACGCACCTTTTCAAAGCTATTGCTTACTTACTCACACCTAGCTGCTTAAGACAATTTTTTTTTCTTTGCCCGCCAATAAATGCTTCACCTCATTCCCATCGCGCCTTTGGAGTTCTCTGAATTGCTTCCCACGCCATCCGCGCAATCAAGAGTAAACCTCGAAGTCAACAGCGCCAGCTTACTGCCTGTAACACCATTTGTGCATAATTGCCTGAAGACACTGGGTACTGCTTGGGACATAGAGTCAAATCATTGATTGATAAACACGGAGATGTTTTATTTTTGCCCAATACCATCCTTCCTCTAAAAGCAAGACTTGTTTCTCGAGTATCCGCGCGCCTACAGCGAAAGCCGTTACAGACTATTCCTCCACCGGAACAGTGCTGAGCGCCGATGATGAGTTTGAATCCCATGCCATAAATTTCTGGGATCACGTTTGTCAGGATTCAGGAAAGCGTGTACGGGAAGAGGATCAGGCAGCTGCGGAGAACACTCGGGGTTTCTTGACTGCATTGTGTACCCTATAGCATTGGTATACACCGGAAGACTGATATTATGGACGGTCAGCGGCAGCAACAGTATATTCCGGTTCAACCGCCTCCCTCGGCGCAGGCCTCTCAGTCGCACATACTACTACCTCCTCCCCCTCCGAGGTATCAGCCAGCACAAGCCCAAGGGGTAGTCCCTCCACCTCCTCCCGGTCCACCTCCAGGAACAGCATACGGTGCTGCGAAGATAACCAACCCACAAGTACAAGTTCAGAACACTATTGGATGGCAGCAGAACTGGGCGGCAAGGCAAGCACTGTCTCAAGGCTACCTACCTCCTCCTCCGCCTCCCCCTTTGGTCCCCGCGAACCAACAACTCTACAACCGAACACCTTTGTCGATCCCTTCTGGAGAAGGCCGTACATCTGCAACTTACGTCCCGCAACCTGGTACTTTCGGTCCAGGTGTTGGAATTCCTGCATTCGACTCGCACACTCTCTCCGCATATGAGAACCAAGCAACGCTGGTGGGCAGCGACCGACAAAGACCCCAAGTGAGCCAATTGTACGAGTATCCTAGTCCAGATTCGGCATACAAACGGGATGGAACTATTCCACCTACACCGTCGGCCCGCACCGTCCCTTCGGCTCTAGCAGCTAATGAAGGTACCCACGAGCAATTACCGAACCATGGACAAACTACAGAACTTATGAAGTCATCAAGTCATCGGCACAATAACAGCAACACCTTACCTGGCGGCATGTCGCCTAGTGAGGCTGCTGCTCAGTGGCCGCTCGAAAGAGTCTTACTGTGGCTCGCGAAGAATGGGTTTTCCAAGGACTGGCAAGAAACTTTCAAGGCCCTCGAGCTTCAAGGCGCTGATTTTATTGAACTAGGTCATGGTTTAAATGGCCGGCCGAACTTGGGTAAACTGCATAACGTTGTATATCCTCAACTTGCGAAAGAATGCGAAAGTAGTGGGACAGGATGGGATCAGACTCGCGAACGGGAGGAAGGTAAACGGATGCGCAAGCTAATCCGCCAAATCCAGGAGGATGGGGGATATGATGCCGGGATACCTATCCCGAAACAACGCGACTCGCAGACACTACCGGGCAGTGCTCCAGAGGGTATTTTGGATACTTCTCCCATGCTTACACATGAACCTTTATCTGCGGGCCCCGCAACAAATAGTCCAAACCTCAAAACACTACAGCCTGTGTATACGCAGAGGCAAAGCGTGCAAACGCGTTCTTTTACGACGCCAATTCCTGCTAGCCATGATCACCTGTCATCAGAGCCTATCTCGAACGATGGCACAAGTTGGACCCGGTCAGACATCTCACGAGCTGCGCTATCTAGTATCGCTGGTGACCACCGAAGGCAGAGCCCCTCCGTTTCTAGTGATGGTGGCCATTTTTTCCCCCCTGCTCGACCATACGAGGGCAGCCCCAAGAGTGGTAGCCCGGCTACACAGCATGCCACTCTCGCCCACCAGGGCGCATCGTCATCCACAGGTGACTTGGGGGTCCGATTCGAGCATTCTCGTGGCAACAGTTCAGACTCGACCATAGGCCGGCGATACTACGAATCAATACGACAGGATAATACCCGTCCGTCGCCTCAAGACCCCTACAACCGTCAATTGAGTGGGGACAATCCCTCATCTTACTCAAAAGACCATAGTAATCGCCTTTTGCATTTCTTCAAAAAGAGATCCAAAACCGGCGATTCTAACCACCCGTCTCCGGAGGAGCAATTTCTGGAGTCCCCCACTAGTCCAGTGAACATGCGTCAGAATGCTTCACATCTCCCTTACACCAAGCCGAATTTCAGCAGTAGCGACATGTCGCTGGGTGAACGTCCACCGTCCTCGTCTGTTTCAGACCATGAGCGGCTCGCCTTACGAGCCAAATCTGGACACAAAGGGAGAAAGTGGGCCTTTGCGACCTTGGATGGATGGAATTATCGTTTAGTGGATATTACTGAAACGGAATCCGTGGAGATGCTACGGGCCACTATCTGCCAGAACCTTGGGATATCCGATTGGACTGGCGCTCAGATTTTCTTGACCGAGCCGGGCCAGATAGAGCACGATGAACCCTTGAATGACCCCGGCCTGACTCTCTGTCGGAAGACGAAGTCGGACTCGTTTGGGTCTTTGAAATTTTTTGTACGAGGATCACATATGCATGCAGGTGCGAGCAGTTCTCCGCACGTTGCAGGCCTTGGAGTCTCATTCCCCGAAAAGCATACGGCGTCACCTACAAGTGGGCAACATCAACTACACCGTAAACCATTGGATGACGAGGCTCTGAACAGGATTGCAAAACCCACTTCTCCGCAAGTAGCACCACGCCAACAGCTAAGGACCCCTGCTGTTAAACTACCTACCCGTGATATATCGCAGACTTCACTTACGGCATCCCCAGTGGATGGTGGCCAGGACGCTGGACATCTTGACCCGGATAAGGCAGACCTATTAGCTCGCCATGAGGAACACCAGCGGGAGGTCGAGAGGAAACAGAAGGCCTATCGGATCTCCAAAGTCTCATCGGTACCACAACCGAGAAAGGATGCCTATGGTGAGACTGGTTATAGACGAGAAGGAGTCATTGATTTCGATTCTCCTCGTATATCTCCTTACGAAGACAAAAAGGCAGAGCCTCTTGTACCGCTTCGCAAACCACCTACTGCGCCTCATGAATCCCATACTCTCACCAAAGTTAATTCTCTAAGGAAGAAAGATGCTGATCGCCCCCGCGTTCAACAACCTGTTCAGACCCATGGCCTTGGAGCGGTTCTGGCTAGTGTTGGTAGAATGACTAGTGCCATAGGAACGCCGACACCTTCGGTGTCTACATCACAGGCTGGAACGAATAACCATGCCAGCATTGAGGCGCCACCTGAAAGTAATATCCCCGGTAAGCTTTATATACATATTCCCGGCTATCGCCTATGTTCCCGTTACCCATTACCAGCGTTCCCTCAACTGGTCATACCTAACATATATTAGACGAATCAAAAAGCGCCTCACAATCGCCTGCGGAACAGGACAGCCAGGAAACTCCAACCTCGCACACCAATCAATCACCTGCTAAGACTGCTGTTCCTGAGGAGCCACGGCCAACTGTACAGTCTCGCAAGTCTTTTGGACCCGAGTTTGACTTCGAGGAAACCAATGTTTCCTTCCAACGCTCGCCAATGCCACAGGAGGATTCGGACGACGACGATTCAGATGACGGCCTTTTTGCAATCCCATTAGCGAATAGCAAATCTCCGACAAAGGAAAAAGATTCCGCAACTGGTTTTTCGGCTAGTCAAAAGTTATCAGCAAAGCCCTCGCTCACTGTAAACACCGAAAATAGGTTGAGAAAGGGATTGTCTGTGAGCTTCAGATCACCTAGTGCCACGCGCGAAACCTTTGCAAGCTCAAGCGGTGATCCAGACCCTAGAACAGGGTCGTTCTCCGATATGACCGCTTCGCCTGAGGAAGAGAAGCCCCCTCGGAGGGATTCGTTCGCTCGAGGCGATATCTGGGCAAGCAGACCTCCCGTGGAAGGTGTCATTGAGTACCTAGATGACTTCTTCCCAAATATTGATCTCGATGCGCCTTATTTAGATGGACAAGGCGCATCCCCTCCCTCGTCACCAGCGAGCAGAGTTGCCGCAGAGGGTGAGCTGAGCCAAAAGGAAAGACCGCAGCCCCCTCCAAATCCTAGTGAATCCACTTTAGGCTCGAGTGAGCCGACTATCAAACCACAAGAGGCTAATATTGTTGCTCGACGCAACGTCAACCGCTCCGGCGGACTTACCCGAATGAAGTCAATCCGTGAAGTTGCCAGGGGCGCCAACCAAGCGAGCAGGAATCGAAGTGTCACATCCTCTACAGGAAATCAAAAATCTGGTGATATCCTCCGACGCAAAAGTACGAAGATGTTTGGTGCAAGGATTATGCAAATCAGCCCTAAACCAGGAAGCCGGCTCAGCCAACTCGATCCTATCCCCCAAAACAATGCCCCTTCTACAAGTGTACCCCAAAGACAACCAACTTTCCGCATCATTCGCGGTCAGCTTATCGGCAAAGGCACATACGGCCGAGTTTATCTGGGAATGAATGCGGATAATGGTGAAGTCTTGGCTGTTAAGCAGGTGGAAATCAATCCTAGAATTGCTGGACAAGACAAGGACAAGATGAAGGATATGGTCGCCGCTATGGACCAGGAGATCGACACGATGCAACACCTTGAGCATCCCAATATCGTACAGTATCTTGGATGTGAGCGGGGAGAGTTGTCTATCTCAATCTATCTCGAGTATATTTCTGGTGGCTCTATCGGCAGTTGTCTCCGCAAACATGGTAAGTTTGAGGAGAGTGTCGTGAAATCACTTACACAACAAACCTTGAGCGGACTGGCCTACCTTCATGATCAGGGAATCCTACATCGTGACTTGAAAGCAGACAATATTCTTCTGGATTTGGATGGAACGTGTAAAATCTCTGATTTCGGTATCTCTAAGAAGTCAGACAACATCTATGGAAATGACTCGACAAATTCCATGCAGGGATCAGTATTCTGGATGGCGCCAGAAGTTATCCAATCTCAAGGCCAGGGCTACAGCGCCAAGGTGGATATCTGGTCACTTGGATGTGTGGTACTGGAAATGTTTGCAGGCCGACGGCCATGGAGCAGGGAAGAGGCCATTGGTGCTATATTCAAGCTTGGAAGTCTAAGTCAAGCGCCTCCGATCCCCGAGGATGTATCCATGAACATTAGTCCAGCGGCGCTTGCTTTCATGTATGACTGCTTTACTATGTAAGTGCTTCCTGCTGGGACCCCGGCCTTTGCACGAATGGACAATTGTACTGACAAGAATCAATTAGTGATTCACTCGATCGCCCGACTGCTGAAACTCTTCTCACCCGTCATCCATTCTGCGAACCAGATCCGAAGTACAACTTCCTCGACACTGAACTCTACGCAAAGATCCGTCATGTTCTCTAGATTATATTTCCATTTGAAGCATCGTCATTGAGCGTGTATATATCTTTTTCGGCTGTACTGTTCTTTGCTGACCATACCCAATTCAGTATTTCTTTACAATGTTGTGTGTATATACTTGTGAGATCCATAATGCAACCACTCTAATTGGAGTGGTGATCTGCCAATTGAATTATGATATCTAGGCTCCTTCTCATGATGACTGGCTTGGTAGCACTTGAAGCATAATTTAGAGAACAAGAAGAATAAATTCTGGCGAAAGACATCGTATAAGCTTCATGTTGACATCTGCCACCTATGAGTGATGTCGTCATGTACTTTTTTCCTTCATTTAACAAACGTACGTAGATATCAAGAGTAGGGTGACGTTACAATCATGTATAGGTCTAGGTACAGACGTTGCAACAATATGGACATGGTATTGGGAGGATATGTCTCCAGTATAGAGATTTTTGTATATACATTCAGCAACTTGATGTTTATCCAAAAAATGATAAGCCAGCTACCGACTCCTAGATTCAAGGCTACCGCTCCTGCTCCTGCTCGTAGCTTCATCGTCTGCATTGGAGATACCAACTCGGAAGATACTCTCACACCACTCTGCAAAGGTGTCCACATCCCATACGGCATCCTCACGACCCTTGCCCTTGGTACTCACGAAATGTCCCTTGCTCTTCTCCGAAGACATGTACTTGTCAAAGAATTCTTCGTATATCTGGATAACACGTTCCTGGACGGCACCCACTAATGTTTCCTTCATACGCACATCGTCAAGGTAGTCGCTGAGGATCGTTCGGAGATTCGGGACTTCTTTCTCTATGTTTCGACATGTAGGATAGATCAGCTCCCCGCGCTGCAGGTTTCGGGTATCGACGAACTTGGCCGGGAGGGAGGCCGTCATCGTGGTGGCGAATCCGCTGATGAAGTCGTTGATCACCGTTCTGAGTCGTCCGTCCAGCTCTACCTTTGCGTCTAGCATGTTCTCTACGACTCGGGGTAGTAGGCCGTGGCCAACGAGGCGCATCAGATTGCGGGGGTTGAAGAGACCGCCCCTTTCTCGTAATTCCCAGAATGTGTTTGTGACGCCTGAGAAGTCGAATGAGACTTCAGGGGCAACATATTCGATGTCAAAGGCGACGATCTGCTGTTTTAAGGTGAGCAAGTGGCTCATGAGAAACAGTTGGCTGTCTGTGACGGATTTGCTGGCAATCAGGGAGCTCGCATGGTGAAGAGAGATGTTGGTTTGGTGGACGATTTGATGCGCTAAATCATCAAATACAGTGGACTATGAACAGATGGTCAGCATACTGAGAATATCTAATTAACATGGTGGATGGGAGCCTTCGTACATTTACAAGGCGGTAGATCCTGCTCAGAAGCCAGATGGCTTTCCGTAATGTTGGGTACCAGTTGCTCGGCGAGACCTGCGACTCGAAGTCCCACTTTGAGTCTTGTTCTGACGGAGAGTCTACGCCGTCTTCGGGCTGCTTTACGGGCTTGGGAAGGTTTGAGAGAGCATCAGCAGCCGTAACCTTCCGGCCTGAAATTTGCCCATCCGTAACTAATATGGAAGCCTGTCTATTGCGCGCAGGGTAATCAAGGTCATCGGGGCGAGGCTTGTACCGTTCGATTTCGTCGCGAAGGAAGGCCTGGGCGCGGAAAACGAGCCGAGTCTGAACGTCCTCCAGCACAGGTTGAATCAATGTAGAGAAGTCGAGTTGGTTGACGTCTATGGGCTCGGTCTCTTCCTCCTGGTCGAAAAGATAACGAGTTTGAAGAAGAGCACAAAGTTGGCAGAGTTTGATTATTTTATCTTCGTGTATGATTTTGGGTTGAAGATGGTCGTAAAGCGGCTCACATATTGTTTCCAGAAAGTCGTATAAGCCCCCCTGTCCGTGAAACCATTCACCCCACAGGTCAAATTCGTCCAGACATACACCGCGGATGTAGCTGATACTGCCACGAGCGAAAGCAACCAGATCCGTCGATGTACTTGGAGCCTGCGCAATCTCATTGAGTTTCTTACGCACTAGTGGCACAATCAGTTTACCACGTATAGCTGCGTAATTGGCATGGAGCTCATTGAGAAGACTTTGATATTCAGCTTCCGTCCCTTGCTCAGGATCCAGTGGGGGAACTGCTCTCTTCTGGATCTCCAGGCCGATCTGCTTCAACTCAGGCGCGCCAACTCGGAACTTTGCATAAAGTAGAGCAGACATAGTAGTATCGTTGAGCTGTTTATCTGCTATCTTTTTTGAGACACTCAAATATACGTCGCGCAGTGCAGAAACAAAGTGTCCCCGAATGAGCGTGAGGGCGCGTGTCATCAGGAGCCTATACCTGGAGCGATATACACCGGCCTCTTTCTGATCGGCCTGTGAGAGACATATTAGCCAGTTCACAAAAATTACACGCGCCCATAAAGCACTGACATGTATTTCCATATAGTCCAAGCATTCGTCGAGCCGCCTTAGCATATCGGAGAAGTCCTGACCGCGAACCGTATTACCAGCACCCGGAGCGTTAAGCTTCCTTGAAGCGGGATCCAGGAAGTCATAGTATTGGAGGTTATCTTGGATATCTGTAGCTAGCTCTGAGTCGCGTTTCTGAGCGGAGAGGAGCCCTTCACACTGGTTCTGAAAATTGGACGTCTGCGATTCTACTGCTTTAAAGTCTTTGGACAGGTTTGATAGGAGGTCGAGGGTTGATGATGTATCAGATAGTAGCGTATCGAGATGTGATTTTGACATCTGAAGCTCATGAAGGCAGGCTCTAATTACAAGACGTGTCAGGCTTCAGGATATCCTAGGTTCCTCCCAATGGCTTCATGGCGCTTACTGATACTCATCGTAGCTACTCTCGAGCAAACTGTCTTCCAACTCATTGTACCATTCGACAAACTCAAGTTCATTATAAATGTCCCCAATCGATTTCAGGCCATCTGGTACTGCCTCAGCTTCCTCAGTCTCCTTGCCTGTTAACTCCAGAGGCGGACGGGACGGGACGGTTTGCCGACGAGATCGCCGTCCCGCATTCTCTTGACGCATTGTGAGGTCCAAAGTGAAGGGTAAAGGGATGAATACAGGATCGCACCTATACCTCTATAGGAGAGCACAAACTCCCATAGTTAAGCTCATATGAGAACTTGACAAAGAGGAACCAAATGGTCGCTGTGATCTCCGTGGCCGCTTCGAGACGCTATTCTGCCACCGCATTCCGCTTCCGCTACTGACGCAACAAATAAACCAATTGGAGGCTGCTGATAAAACCTGACCAAAAGCATACTATTGTACATTATCTCTCAAAAAGATATGTGCGCTTATTGAAGAAAGCGTCAACACATCATGTGGACATCTCGAGCGCGACAGCCCGTGACAAACATTGTCACCGTCTCACGTCGCCTTCCCCGATGTGCTCGGCCTGCCGTCATTGCTTGGAGAAGAGGTTATGCTAGTCATGGCCCTCATGCATCTGAACAGTCTGGGTCCTCTTCACGTTGGCTTAAGACTTCCCTAGGCCTTGTGGGAACAGGTGCTGCTGCTTTTCTTGTCTACACCTATGCGACACTCGATAAGAATCAAGCCGGAAGTCAGGCAGACTCGAAGACTCATGATCTCTCACGAGCGGCTGAGCAACTGGACTCGCAGTATGTTCAACACAAAAGAAGCTTAAAAAGCCCTGGCGTATATGTATGGGGCACGAACTCGTCTCGTGTTGTGGACCCCAACTCCAAAGAGGCTGTTATCAAAGCCCCTCGGAGGCTTCGTTTTTTTGACGGCCAGGTGCTAAGAGACCTTAAGCTTTCTGACAAGTCTGGTGCAGCGATCTCTGAAAATGGTGACCTCATTCAGTGGGGTAAAGGCTATTCAGAGTCCGACTTTAAGCCCACAAAGACTTTGACAGGAAAGAACTTGACTTCGCTTTGCATGTCAAACGATCGAATACTCGCCTTGTCATCAGACGGCAGTGTTTACTCTCTTCCAATTGCCAAGGATGACCAACAGTCCGGCCGAAAACCTAAAGAAAGCTCCTGGGTGCCCTTCTGGTCTGCAAAATCTGGAGTAAGTTACCGGTTGGTGCAACCTAGCTTGAAGCTAGGTGAGAAGGTCACTATGCTCCGCGGCGGATTAGAGCATGCCCTTCTTTTGACGAGTCACGGTCGCGTCTTCTCTGTCGCCTCTTCTACAGAGAGCTATCCATCTTTCGGACAGCTTGGGGTCCCAGGGTTGACTTGGGCAACCCGACCTAAGGGGCCAATCGACATGTGTCATGAGATTGAGGCATTCAAGGGCACTAAGATTACACAAATTGCTACCGGAGACTACCATTCCCTGGCTCTAAGCAAGGATGGTAGCTTATTTACTTTTGGAGATAATTCCTTCGGGCAATTGGGTATGGCATTTGACTCCACACTACCTTTTAGTGATACCCCTACCTCTGTGCCCATCAAAAAACTTTATAAGGGGAATATTTGGTTTCCCAAGGTAACTGGAATTGCAGCCGGTGGTGCTAACAGCTTTTTTACTGTGGATGCACAACGGATTGTTGGTCCTGGTGAAAACCCTTCCACTGTCCGCGATTTGGACCGCATTACGGCTGATACCTGGACATGCGGAAGAGGAATTTGGGGTGCTCTTGGTAATGGAAAATGGACTCATATGCAAGACGCTCCTACCAAGGTCAAGTCCTTGAGTGGTTTATTTGAGTATGACGAGCGGAGGAAGAAATTGACGCCCATTCGCCTTCGCGATCTATCAGTGGGGACGACGCACGTATCAGCAGTAATGAACAACGATGCTCATATTGATTCATCACCTAGCAATTCTTTGAACGATGCCTCCAATTTTGGTTTCGATGTGCTCTTTTGGGGAGGGAACGAGCATTTTCAACTTGGCACGGGCAGGAGAAGCAACCAATCTAAACCAACACATATCAACGCGCCTCCGGAAGATAAAGGAGAACTTGCTGAGCAGGAGGCACGGCTTCAGGTCATGCCTCGTCACAAAGGAAAGGTTGGCTCCCGCACAATGAATATGGAGCAGCGCGTGGAGTGCGGGAGACACATCTCTGCAATCTACTCTTCTGTATGATCTGACTGAATAATCTCTTTGATTCTTTGTTGTATTGTGACTGCCATCATTACCAAATTAAATAGTCGACTACTGTACATTATTACATCTAATGAAATCGATTCAAGAAAAACATTTAACCCAGAAGGGAAAAGTAAGACAGGCAAACAGGACAAACACACGCTTAGTTGATGAGCAGAAGACGCTTGGACCACCGCTTATCCCAAAAATTTCCAGCCCAATGGCCGGATAAGAACTTCTCTCTTTTAACCACTTAATATCCCCCACCGCTCATATCATGCCTCGTGAGAACCAAAAACGAGGTCGCCGAGCGGCCGAAAAGGCCGAGAAAGATGCTGCGAAACGGAAACGCGAGGAAGCTCCCGAAGATTCGCTGTCAAAACGGTTGAAGCCCTCGACGGACGAGGCAAACGAAATCAATCAAGGAGCCGACTACATACCTTTCGACGAGAATTACAATGAGAACTACGACGGAAACTACGATGAGCATCAAATTGATGCGCCTGCGGGTGATATGCCCTTTTATGGTCTTCTCGATCCCGAAGAACAGGAGTATTTCTCTCGAGCGAACGAGGTTTTGGAATTGAACCAATTCCAGGACGCAGAGGAGCGGAGGATATTCGTCGACAGTGTCTATAGAGAGGCCGATGGGAAGGAGTTGAAAATTGCTTGCAGTCAGGGATGCTCACGGCTTATGGAGAAACTGATATCGATGTCGGATATGCGCCAAATCCACAGGCTGTTTAACAAATTCATCGGTCACTTCCTGAATCTTGTGCAGCATCGGTTTGCTAGTCATTGCTGTGAGACCCTCTTTATCAATGCGGCACCCGGTATAACGCAGAAGGCCTCAAAGTCGAAAAGCGATAGGATGGATGTAGACGAGGAAGGAGAAGAGCCCGAGCCTGAATTGTCATTGGCGGAGATGTTCATCAAGGTAGTTGAGGAATTGGAGGGCAACTGGGGTTACCTACTGACAGAACGATTTGCGTCACATACAATCAGAGTTTTGCTTCTCGTGCTTGCGGGAGAACCGGTGGACGTTTCAGCGAACGACTCGGTTGTTGCAAGCCGTAAGAAAGAGAAATTGGGTCTACTCCAGGGAGAGACGCAGGATGGGGATGCCCCTGCGCAAAAAAGAAACGTACCGGATGCGTTCGAGGCTACTTTGAAGAAGATTATGAAGGACATGGTCTCTGTACTTGATGACACGTATTTGAGAGCACTTGCGACTCACCCTGTTGGTAATCCGGTACTTCAAGTCTTAGTGTCTCTGGAGCTCTCGCATTTCGGAAAATCGAGTGCCAAGGATCCCAATTCTATAACAAGACGACTAATTCCGGATGAGAACTTTGAGGAGGGCTCTGAGACTACAACGTTTGTGCGCGGATTACTCTATGACCCAGTTGGATCTCGGTTACTCGAGACCATTGTGCGTTGTATGCCCGGAAAGGCATTCAAGGGCCTTTACAAGAACTTCATCCGCGACCAAATCACTTCATTTGCCCGCAATATCACCGCCGGGTATGTCGTGCTTCGAGTGCTGGAGAGACTCGGAAAGGATGATCTCCAACAAGCCTTGGAGCGAATTGTTCCTCAGGTTCCCAGTCTTCTTGAGCGGTCAAGGATGGTCGTTCCCAAGGTGCTTATTGAGCGGTGTCTAGTCCGTGGAGTTGACACAGCACCCCTTGCTCGGGCACTAGAGGAAGCCTACGATAAAGACCCTGCTCGGAGACTGGAACAAATTTTGCGGCTTGAGAGCACAACCCAGGAGGAATCCGAAGAATCAGAGCAGAAACCGAAGGCAGCCAATATCGTTCCAAGCCAATCATTAACAGGAGAAAAACTCCATGGTTCGCTACTTGCACAGACAATGCTCACTGCTCCGGGACCGATAAGCGGGCTTATTTATTCGAGTCTGTTGGCGCAATCCCCGGAGTCACTCGTTAAAATCGCCAAGGACCCTACTGCATCTCGCGTCCTACAACAAGCTCTTACAGTTCCGACATCTACCACACAATTCCGTCGACAGTTTGCCCCACGCTTCACCAGTCATTTGAAGGAGCTTGCCCTCGATAGCAGCGGATCCCATGTGGTAGACGCACTCTGGCCTGCCACCAAGGACATTTTCTTTATCAAGGAGCGAATGGCACAGGAGTTGACCCAGCATGAAATGGCGCTTCGGGATTCTTTTGTCGGCCGTGCTGTCTGGAGGAACTGGGCGATGGATCTCTACAAGCGACGACGGGGCGAATGGGCTGTGAAAGCCAAAGGTATTGATAACAACGACGGCTCCGGTGAAAGGCCCAAGTCTAGGATCGAACTCGCACGGGCTAAGTTTGCTGCAAAGGCAGAGGAGGACGCGAAGAAAGGTGCGCAGAAGGGCGTAACTGCCTAACTTCGATCGTGTTCATTTGGGTATAGCGAACTTTCTACAACAAAAGTCATGTATGTACATAAGGGTCACGGGATTGGTTATGTGGATATCAAAAGCACGCAATACAGGTTGCATTAGTGTGAATTCAATATCGCAAATGATCGGCACTATTGCCGAGAAAATTTATTTATTTATTTATTTATTTATTTATTTATTTATTGGGGTAAAGAAAAGAAAAGAAATCATGATACAAAGAACAACGTCTTCTGAAGGCCCGGAATGTAGATTTACTACTCATTTTTGTCTATTGGATGGGAATAGAATTGTGATCCTATGCTTGACGATAACATTTGCCTGATTTGCAAGGCACCGTATTTAATCCTTTTTGTTCTTTTCCTCCTTGAAAGCGAGAAACACGTGCGGGGTAAAATCAAATGAAACGATAAGAAATTCTTTCTTTTCCCCACCATCGTAAAGAAGACCCTAAATGCTTCTGAATCTCTTTTAGCTCAGGGAGCCAAATTCAATGGCAGTTTATAGAGCCATTATTGGCCTCGGGAACCATGATGTCAGACTCTCCGGGTCTGTCGCCATCCATTTCTCCAGCGGGTCCGCAACGGTGCCGGTGACAGAATGGGTCCTTGGATCGAAAGTTCTATGAATGACCTCGGGACTTTTTGGA